CGAGGAAGAACATATTTTATCGGACTAAGGAAGAGTGTTTGGCTTTCTATAAACGCTATGCTCACGAAAAGGGTTTTGGTGTTCGAAATGGTGCTCAACACCAAAAAAAAATGAAGAATTCTAATGGAGAGGTGGAGAAAATTTATTTCTACCTTTATTACTTTTGTAATAAGCAAGGTTGGACTTCCACTAGCGAAGTAGATGTGGAGAAACAAAAACAGTCCGAAGACAAAGTTGTGGAGAGAAAGCGTCCTAAAAGAAAGAGGCCTCGAGTTAGGGTTGGATGTAGTGCCCGTGTTCGTTTTCGATGGGATGAATCTAGAGACGGATATGTGGTGTATGAATTCGTGGGAGGCCACAATCATGATTTGCACTCCACCGAGCATACGCACCTTATCAAGTCCAACAAGTGCATGAGTGATGCTCAGAAAAAGATGGCCGAAGCTAATCGGGATGCCGGGATGAGTCTTAGTGCATCGTATCAGTTATTGGCTGATTGTGCTGGTGGCTATCAAAATCTGAAATTTTCCAAATCTGATCAGAAGAACCACTTGAACACCAAAAGGCAAAGGAAAATGGCTCGTGGCGAAGCGACTTATTTGCTTGACTACTTTGAGGACCAAAAGGAAAAGCATCCTGACTTCTTTTATGCTGTAGAGGTAGATTGTGAGGAGAAAGTTGCTAATATTTTTTGGGCGGACAGTAGGATGCGTGAAGATTATGCTCTTTTTGGAGATTCGGTCTCCTTTGATACCACCTTCCGAACCAATAAATACTTCCGTCCACTAGGTACGTGAATCACTTAATTGCCTTGATTTTTTTCGACACTCGTTCGGTTATGGATTGTGAGTAATAGTTGTCTTGTGCATGGATGTTTATACGTATATTACAGAAATAGTATTGAATAGAATGTAGGGTGGTTCAAGAGTGGTCTCTTGTGATCCGATATTGACATGGCCTGACAGGATATGTTTTTGTGTAAGGACGAATATTGGTATGACATTATTAGATATTAGTCTGGGTATTACAGATATTGGTATGACATTATTAGATATTAGTCTGGGTATTACAGATATTTGTTGACATGTGTTGGGACAATATCAATTCCTAATTCCCTTAAGTTTTTTCGACACTCGTTCGGTTATGCATTGTCATTAATAGTTGTCTTTTGCAGGGATGTTTGTAGGTTTCAATCACCATCGTCAAACTTGTGTGTTTGGTGCTTGTTTGATGTATGATGAGACTACACCATCTTTTGAATGGTTGTTTTTAGCATTTAGTCGGTGCATGAAGAAGAAGCTCCCAATCACTCTTTTTACTGATCAGGACGCTGCCATGGCAGCTGCCCTTAGAAAGGAGTGGCCTACTGTGTTTCATGCCCTCTGTACTTGGCACATCCTCATGAATGCGAAGAAGCATCTTTCTAAGGACAAGGCATTTTGGAAGAAGTTCCAAACTCATATTTCTTATATTTTCTACGACATCGACAGTGAGAGAGAGTTCGACATGGCCTGGAGCACAATGGTTGCTGATTGTTTCCCTAATAGCGAAATTGCGGACGGTCACCCATGGTTGGAATATTTGAAGAAATTTCGTCGTCGATGGTGTTCCTTATGGTTGAGAGATCAATTCACAGCCGGGATGTTGACTACGCAAATAGGCAAACAAGGCATTGTCAAAGACTATTACTAGCGAGGACAGTAAGTATATACACTAATATCATTTGTAAATTGTTAGAGTTTAATATCATTGCACTTACTAAATTCTCTACCATTGTAGGACGGAATGTACCGATAACTGGGCTGACTTTGAAGAAGAAGAGTAATCCAAGGAGCCAAGGTAAGGAACGTTATAAGTCTATCAATGAAAAAGAACGCCGTCGAAAGAAACGTGTCTATAAGAAGAGAATGAAATCAGCTGAAGTGGTCACGCCGGACAACAATACTCAACCGGATGACCATATTAGTGATTTGGATGATAATATTGCTCAATGGTTATGAATAGAATGTAGGGAGGTTCGAGAGTGGTCTATTTTGATATGATATTGACAAGTGATTCCAGGAAAAGTTTTTGTATAGAAGTGGATATTAATCCACTTGTAAAGGATACTTGTTAGTGCAAACTTGATATGCACTCTATTTTGTACAGATATAGGTCTGGGTTTCCTGGATATTTATGTATAGAATGTAGGGAGGTTCGAGAGTGGTCTATTGTGATATGACATTAAAGGATAGTATCCTTTACAAGTGGTCTATTTATGTAGAGTATCCACTCCAATTAAAAGTGGCAATGTCCTCCACCCTTCCAACCATGTACTCTGCATAATCGAGATCACAAATTCGTGACATCTTCGGGGCGAGCATCGAACCAAGAGCCAGCAACAAAAATTGCTTCACCGCTGCTGCAACAGGTGGTCGCCTTTTCGGTGCATGATCTGGACCACCACAGGCTACCTCTCGAAGATCCATAACTTCTACATTTCGACTACGAGTACACTCCATGTTCAGCTCCTCCTTGAACATCTCAAGCATCTTGTCGTTCGACTTCCCGACATCAATCTCAGCACCACCACTAGGCAGCCCGTATACACGGGCAACATCCTCAGCTTCGATGGTAAGCACCTTCTTTTCATCCCCTTCACCGAAAATGAATGAATTGGACTGCACATCATACTGTGCCATCAACGAATCGAACATCTTCTTAGGAACATTTGACAGACGAAGCTCCAATAGCCCTCCAAATCCAGCCTTCTCCAACTCTTTCTTGCAGGCTTCATAGTACCTCGGCTCTTCCTTCCAGTATTTTATAACATCTAGCAAAGATTTGGTGTGGCACCGAAATCTGTACCAAGGCTTGCCTTGTTGTCCTAGAATGTGAACTACTGGCCTACGTACTTGCGGGGCGACTTCAGCAACTTCTTCTTCTTCCTCATCCTCCTCTGCCTGTGGCGGTGGTGATGGCTGTCGTGGATTACGTCGCTGTCTCTTCGCGTTCGTTTTATCCCTGCACGGACAAATATCCAGAATACATCAAACAATTATCCAGGTAAGTAGCAACAGATATCATGCTGGTAAAAAACCAATATCCAAATGTATCAAAAAATTATCCAGGAAAGCCACAACTAATATCAGGATGATAACAGACCAATATCCAGATATGTTAAACAATTATCCAAGCAAGTCACAATAGATATCACGGTGGTGAAAAAACATATCCAAATGTATCAAACAATTATCCAGGAAAGCCACAACTAATATCATGCTGATCACAAACAAATATCCGGATATATCAAGCAGTTATCCAAGCAAGTAACAACAGATATCATGCTGGCAAAAAACAAATATCCAAAAGGATCAAACAATTATCCAGGAAAGACAGAACTGATATCATGCTGTTCACAAACCAATATCTAGCTTTATCGAACAATTATCCAGGCAAACAACAACAGTTATCATGCTGTAGAAAAACCAATATCCAAATATATCGAAAAATTATCCAGGCAAATAACAACAAATATCAAGCTGATGGAAAACCAATATCCAGCAATTCACAACTGAAATCAAGCTGATCAAAAACCAATATCCAGAAATATCAAAGAAACAATCCAAGCAATACACAATGTATATCCAGAGATTTAGAGTGCACCGAAATCTGTACCTCGCCTTGCTTTTACCTCGACCTGCTCCTTGTGCAGCTCCTCCAGCTTCAGCTTCAGCTTCAGCTTCAGCTTCTTCTTCAGCTTCTTCTTCTGCAGCTCCACTCGCTTCAACTTCAGCATCTTTTTCTGCACGTTCTTCTACTTCGACTTCAACATTTTCTTCTTCCTCATTTTCCTCTGGCGGTGGCGGTGGTGGTGGCTGTCGTGGAGTCGGTCGCTGTTTCCTCTTTGTTACCTTAGTCCTTGCCATTGATAAATCCCTGCACATACAAATACCCAGATCCTATCAAATAACTATCCAAGAAAGTCAAAACTGATATCCAGATACATCAAACAACAACCCAGGCAATAAACAACAAATATCCAGAAGAACAGAATGCATATCTTGCTGAACAGAACAAATATCGGAATGAACACAAAGCAAATCCACAAAACCAAGATATAACATCCACAGAATAACGAACTCATATCCAGTGACACATATAAATTACCACAAAATAAATATTTGACCCACGAACCCAAAAGACAAATCCACAAATGGAAAAACCGATCGTAGCCATGAAACCCTAACTCAAATCTATCCAAACGAAAATAAATATCCATGAAGACAAATCCATAAAAGGAAAACCCAGATCAAGTCGTAGCCATGAAACCCTAACTCAAATTTGTCGAAGCCAAAATGAAACCCTAACTCAAATTTGTCGAAGTCAAAATGAAACCCTAACTCAAATCTTGCCAAACGAAAATAAATACCTTAGTAGCCGCCGAAATCCCGCTTCGGTCGCCGCCGGTTCGCTCTCCGCCGCAGGAACTCGCCGCAGCTTCGCTCGCCGCACCACTCGCCGCCGCACCGCTGGTCACTCGCCGCCGGTTTCGTGAGAGGAGAGGGGAAGTCGCCGCCGCACCGCTCGCTCGCCCGCCGCGGGTTTCGTGAGAGGAGAGGGGAAGTCGCCGCCGGTTTCGTGAGAGGAGAGGGGAAGTCGCCCGCCGCCGGTTTCGTGAGAGGAGAGGGGAAGTCGCCCGCCGCCGGTTTCGTGAGAGGAGAGGGGTCGTCGCCGCCGGTTTCGTGAGAGGAGAGGGGAAGTGAGAGAGAGGGGAAGTCGATTTGGGGGAGATGCAGCAGATAGGGGAAGTCGATTTGGGGGAGAGAGGGGAAGTGAATTGGGGGTTTGATTTTTGAATTGTGGGTCCAGTGGGCTTGGTCAGCCATGGGTTCGACCAGCCGACCCAAACCGGGTCATCTTCCTCTACCCAAACCAAGAGCCAACTTACCCTTGCCCACGTGGACAACAAATCCACCGTGTGAGTATATACTCACACTTTGGCCTGTGAGCAGCATAACTACATTGCTTCGTCAAGGTCCTGCTGCTTACTCTTGGTATCGACGGAATTTTTTTTACAGGAGAAATCGGAAATGAAGATGGATACATCGTTTCCGCTGAGGTCGTTCCTCGTTCTGTCGCTGGTCGCCTTGTCCAGGGCTGCTATCGACTTCGCCTCCATGGCCGAGTCCAATTTCCCGTCGGTCCAGGCGGAGAAGTTCATTAGGGATCTCAATCTCAACCCTAAAAAGGAAGTTAATGTCGTCGAGGGCGGCGCGGCCCTGATTCGCGGCGAGGTTCCCGCTGGGAAGAAGATTGTGGAGAAGAGGATCAGCTTCCCGAATCTGGTTGGGGAAGGCGAGGTCGGATTTGCCGTCGAGGATTTGGGGCACCACGCTGGTTACTACAATATTGAGCATTCCTATGCCGCTAAGTCAGTCCCAACTTCCCTATTTCGCATTGGTGTTTTGCTATTTGGGTTTTTCTTTTTCAATTGACGATGTGGCTGCTTCCTGAATTGGAAGTTTTGTGAATTTGGGGTTGGGAAAGTCTGCGAGGAAGGCTGTTGACCTGATCAGTGACTTTTTTCAATGATCGGACGCGTCTTACATCTGTGTAGGTTTTGCTTTCAGTGTTTCTTTGCAGAACTGGAAGTATACGTGGGATTTAACTCGTATTCTATCTGTAAAATGTTTAGGGGTTCTATGTGCTATGTGGGGTTGGTTAGACTTTCTGTATCTTGCAGTTCATCAGCTATTGAAGTGATCTTTCAGGAAATTGGTTGGGTTTTATAGTATTTTTTTTTTGTCATGGTCCGTTTTGAGACTGTATTATTTAGCTCCATTACTGTTCATGGAGAAGTGGTTCATCACAGGAAAAGGCTAACATTATTTTGGATGTTGGTTTTGTAGGATGTTTTACTTCTTCTTCGAGTCTCGCAACAGTAAGAAGGACCCTGTTGTCATCTGGTTGACTGGGGGACCGGGCTGCAGCAGCGAGCTGGCTATATTTTATGAAAATGGCCCTTTCAGCATTGCAAATAACATGTCTCTTGTGTGGAACAACTTTGGCTGGGACCAGGTAATCTCCTTCCTTTGTCTTCTTCATCTTCAGCCATCTTCATCTCTATGTGTTTCTTCTAGCATGTCTGGGTGCTATTATAGTTTATAAAAAGGTAGTTTTGCTTAGAGACCTAATTCTAAGCTCCTGGGGAAAGTCCTTTCCTCTCGGAATAATCTCAATCCTAGAAGCAACTTTGTTACTTTATGCTTTCGGATCTTATGGCGGAAAATATCCACTCTGGGTTGAACATATAACGTGGTCTTGGTTATGTTGGTTTACATGGACAACTATTTTGCTGCCATCAGCTAAGTTAGCGATTCCAGCAGTTAATCAAAATTATCCACGGGAAAGGGGTGATGGAATGCTGCTGCTGTTACATTTTGCTACTTCTGTTGTGCAGGCTTACCCATTGATTAAGCAGTTAAATAACTGATTATTGTCCATTTTGCAGGCATCAAATCTTATATATGTTGATCAGCCGACTGGGACTGGATTCAGCTATAGCACTGACCGACGTGACATTCGCCATGATGAAGCCGGAGTTAGTGATGACTTGTACGACTTCTTGCAGGTTAGTTCAATCTTTATGAACTCAGATGTAGCATCTTCTTTACCATCTAAACAAATTCAAATACCAAACTCGTGAGCTAAAATTTCTTTCCTGAACGTATGAGCAGCATCAATTGGATTTCCTAGTTCATCATTGCTACAATTTGCATTGTTAGGTCAGATTGGTAATTACTCGGCTTAACTCACTTTGGGCGCTTCTGTCTGTTTAGGCCTTTTTCACAGAGCATCCTGAACTTGCAGAGAATGACTTCTACATTACTGGTGAATCATATGCTGGACACTACATTCCTGCTTTTGCTTCTCGAGTTCACAAGGGGAACAAGAATAAGGAAGGGATCCACATAAACTTCAAGGTTTGCTGTAGCAGTTTGTCTGAATTCGGAAGTGGTTCCTGGTCTAGTAATCTTTACTAATCTCTTGGAGGGAAAATTGAACAGGGTTTTGCCATCGGCAATGGCCTGACAGATCCTGCATTGCAGTATAAGGCTTATCCTGATTTTGCGCTTGAGAACGGGATTATCACGAAATCACAATTCAATAAAATTACGAAGATTGTCCCAGTGTGTGAACTGGCAATTAAGCTGTGCGGTAAGTAATTTCACATGTTGTTGCTTCTGCTTCAAGATTTTCATTCTTGTTGACATCCATACTGTGTTCATCTGTCCCAATATATGAATCTAGTACCTTGCTTAATGAAACAGTCAAGTAGCAGGTACTACCATTATTCCAGCACTTGAATTCCACACTATTACTGATATCTTTTGTCTAGACTTGTTTATAAGTGTACCTAAGTTGTGATCTTATAATGACTGTTAATTGGTGATATTACAAAGTTAATTATTCTCGCCTATAATCTTTTGATTAATTCCTATTGTCCTGTCCAATAATACATCTTTTGCTTCAGGAACTGATGGTACGGTGTCTTGTTTGGCCTCCTATTTTGTTTGCAATACCATATTTAATTCAATCATGTCGGTGGCTGGTAATATAAATGTAAGGTTCTTCACTCTCATCTGTGTATAAAATGGTATATTTATGGCCTACTATATATCACTCCTCTCAGTCGCCAGTATATGCATTCAAGAAGTTTTATGTAGAAATTATATTTCAACTCCCACATTATTGAGAGGATCAAATGAGAGACATGAGTAATCCATTGAATTCATCAGGATACAACTCTTGAGTATGGTGACTAGAAGATGATTGGGAACCTAAATTATATGGTTCTTTCATATTTTTTATAACTAAGATTGATAGTTGTGGTAAAAAAAAATTGACTGCTGTTTACACAAACAACTGCTGCTCAAGCGCAAATATAGCTATTTTTTTAGTAGCTATGAAGTATGAACTGATTTTAAAGTTTGACCAACTGGCACTTGTGTTATCTCTCGCAGTATTATGACATCAGGAAGGAATGTGTAGGGAGCCTTTGCTATGACTTCTCCAACCTGGAAAAGTTTCTTAACCTGAATACTGTTAGGGAGTCACTTGGTGTTGGGGATATAGACTTCGTGTCGTGCAGTCCGACTGTGTACCAGGCCATGTTGGTTGACTGGATGAGGAACCTTGAAGTCGGGATTCCCGCTCTTCTTGAGGATGGAATTCACATGCTTATCTATGCGGGAGAATATGATCTCATCTGCAATTGGCTAGGTAAGGGTTATGCAGGTCGAAGGAAACTGAGGTGATCTTGTGCAGCAGATATCTGGGAGTAAGTACTTTAGCTGTTTTTCCTCTTGTTTTGTGAAACAATGTACAGGTAATTCAAGATGGGTTCATGCTATGGAGTGGTCTGGCCAGAAAGAGTTCGTATCATCTCCAGAAATCTCCTTTGAAGTGGACGGTGCAGAGGCTGGAGTGCTGAAAACTCACGGACCCCTGTCCTTCCTCAAGGTAAACTTCTCTCTAGATCTTGCACCATCTTTTAAGCTGCCAACTTGTCAAGCCATCACATTTTCTATACATGACTGATCAATGCCATGTTTCTGTGAATTAGGTCCACAATGCTGGGCACTTGGTTCCAATGGACCAGCCAAAGGCTGCATTAGAGATGCTGAAGAGGTGGACTCAAGGCAAACTATCTGATGCCACTGCTGATGAATCCAACCCGGGCAAGTTAGTTGCCGAGTTCTGATCTTTGCTTGGTGGGCAAGCATTCAGAAGATAGGCTGGCTGTCTGTCTGGCTTCTGGTTTTCCTAATGTACCTTGTAAATAAGTTTTCCTTTTGAGGTAGTTGGCCTTGTAGAAGAAGGTTACATGTGAGCTCGTGAGGTTCGAGTCATAAAAGATGTTTGTTCTTATGTAGAAGGCAAGCGTAGTAATGTACCCTTATGTAGCAAGTAGCAACTGATGTGGCACATTTTATAAGTCTTTTCTGCTTTCTGGACATATCAAGCTCTGTTTCGAGTCTTGTTAAGTTACTGCTAAATGCTGTTTCAGTGAAGAAAACAAACCAAACAGATGTCGCATTAAAGGTGGAGATAACTTCTCCATGGACTGGGAATCTGATATGTGCAATGTTCAAGAAATGAGGAGATGATGTTCATCGACGCTTTCTCAGAAACTAGTACATGCCCCGAGGCCTTACAAATCAATCTGCAAATTATTTGCCCTTATCCCTAACTGGTTTTGCATTACAAATCGTTTTGGAGAGTTAGGCAATATCCAAATCGTTTTGGAGACTTGAAGTGTCAGCAGCTCTGGTTCCCAATAGTGCTGATAAACCACTGTATCATGAAATGATGGTGGGTGGATCATGGATGCCTATCTGGTTTAACTGCTTCCACTTACAAATCCAAAAAGTCTAAACAATAACGTTTCTTTCTTCTTCAACTCTTTCGCTTGGCATGATTCTTCATTGCAGACCAAAAGAAAGCCTGAATCATTTCAAAGGCATGAGCTTTACTAGCCGAAAATGATCTGTTGCAGTAGGATTGTAAATCAAGAAAGCACAGATGCAGAAAGTCGGAATGTAATGCAATCTTCGAAGCAATTCATTTCAAATGAGCATTCCATCATCAGTAGCAAATTCCTAAGGAAATTACAATCACTACAAAGTTGCAACATAGCTCAAGAATTCAATCTTCCTCGCCACTCTCATCGCTAAAGTAACTGGCTTTCTTCACCTTCTTCTTCCCCGAACCCTTCCCTTCTTCATCTGCCAACAACAATCTCTCCTCCGCCCTCCCATCCACCGCCGAAGCCCAATTCTCCTCTTCAAACCCCTGACCATCTCCCCAATTCCCTCCTCCTACTTCCCCATCCTCCGCCGCGTCCTCCTCGTCTCTCCTCTCAGAAGCACCACCGACGCCGCGACCGACGCCGCCTTCTCTCCGCCCCCGCTTCGGCGCCGGCGGCCTCTCCCTCGCGCCGAGCTGATTCTTCGGGCACTCGTACGACAAGTGACCGCCTTCCCCGCACTCGTAGCACTTGCTCTTGTCCTGATACACCCTCTTCTTAATAAACTCCGTCGCCCGGCCGTTGTCGTTGGCAATCGACGCCGATAGGGTCCGGCCGTTGAGGATCTTCTTGTCCATCTGGCGCGCGGCCGAGGCGGCGTCGTCGCGGGAGACGAACTGGACGAAGGCGACGCCGCGGGACTGGCGGGTGGCGCGGTCCTTGAGGACGGTGACGCGGGCGATCTTGCCGAAGGTGGAGAAGAGGGTGTGGAGGTCGGAGTTCGTGAGGGCGAAATCGAGGTTGGAGATGTAGACGGTCGACTTCGACGGGGCCAGTCCGCCCGAGCCGCGGGATTTAGGGTTCCGATTAGCGGCGGCTGCTGTTGAGGTGGAGGAGGTCGATGACGGAGGATCTGGTGCCGAGACGGAGGAGTAACGGTAGTAGAAGGTGTCGTCTTCATCGCTGTCGCTTCCGCCGCGGCGACCCATTGTTTGCTGCTTGATCTCTCTAATTCGGTGGCGGCTCTATCTCGCCGGACATTTTTGTGTTTCGGGTTAATTGCTTTGCTGGTCATTGCTTTTGTAAGTTTGTTTCGTGCTTACCACTAAAAAATGTTTCAATGACAAAACAGCCACTATTAGTCTGTTTTGTTTTCATAAAGTTTGTAATTTTGTATGAATGGTTGTCACGCCGACCGGCATGCCACCGATTGTACCGGGTTCAACCGGTACCGGTTATAAAACCGGCGTGACATCACCGGTATGACCGACATGATCGATATACGAATCTTTAAGTAAAATGATCTTATTTTAGAGAATTTAATTGATAAAAATTATTTTATTATTTATTTTATGAGTATAAAAGTTAAATATTGATGTTATTTGTTGGATTCAAGTATAAATGTTTAGGTATTGACGTTAAATGTCATGTTTAAATATGATTATTTATAATTTTATTTGTAATATTGACCGGCATGAACCGACACAAACCGGTATGCGCCACCGGTTGAACCATTCCACTTGATAAACCGGCACACTAACATAAACCGGTTTGACAACCTTACGCGAAACCAGAAGGGCAAAATAGTCCAATCCACTTGAAGGAAAAGTAGTTGAGGATGGCGATAATTTTGTCTCTTTTCTGCCGTGGAAGTGGAACCTACACTGGTCTCCCAATCGAGAAGGGATAATGATTAGTTGATTACCCGAGAGAAAGATAAACGTCGGCATCCCGAGCGAAATTTTGATTCACCCTCGTTCCGCCGCCCACCGTCAACCAAGAATGCGCGCGACTCCGATTCCCGGAGTAAGATTTCATAGACAAGGCTGAGCCTGAGCTAGAAAGAGAAACACCTGGGGGATTAAAGAATTCAGCTCCCGCAATCAGCAGTCGGAAGGATTGTCGGTGACCTTCACCTGGGTAGTTCCTGTAAGTGATAGCTAATTCTCTCATGGTGACTTTCCTCTCCTCTTCGCAAATGTTATTTTCCCCCCCTCCGTTTCTGCTGATTGTTTGATTGATTAATACGGTCAATTCCTGGGTTTCTTCGTTTTGAGACCTGGGTATTGTTCGAATTTCGATTTTGGAATGTGGGGTTTGAGGAAGTCGTGAAATTTGTTCAGTGATAGAGAATTAGTGGAATAGAATTTGTGTTGGAGATGTAGAAAGATGAGTTCTTTACTTCTTTTGGTTATGCGAGTAGTGTAGCTATCTGTGAAAATCGATTTGAATTGGCTTATCGTTGTATTGTTAGCAGAAAAGCTAACTGCTTTGATCAACATTTATGGTACTTTCGAGATGAACCTCAAGTGTTTGGTGCGAGAGCGAGCCATACGAGGATTTTGGTTTTGTCATTAGGTCAAGTAAGAAGAGTGGCAGATTTTATCAAACCTAAGTTTTCCTCTGTTTGCATTCATCACTCCTTGTCATCTCTCCACTTAGGTATTGATAAACGAGAACTGACTTCTTTTGCCTGTTGGAGTGTGTCTTCGAAGAGCTGAGGGTTTTTCTAAGACGATATCTTAAAGAGATTTAACCAGAATCCATGTGTAGCGCATTTTCCTACCTGCCTCCATGACAGAATCTACTATAACTACTTGATATGTGTACCTAGAAAGTTTAGCCCACAGCATATCGCTACCTGCAGCCTTTGTTTGCCCCATATTCTAGAACTAGGTGAGCACATTTAAATTTCAAGTGGAGTGGTGAGGAATAGAAAGCACGGTGAAATTGCTGTATCAAATGAAAGAACTGCAATTGCTGATTTCTTAGTTTGTGCATATAGCATTGCCATTGAAGGCATAACAAAGCTCTTCTTACACCAATCTAGTATTCTGACTGTCTTTCTTTGCCTATTCTTACTTGCAAATAGATTTCTATTTGACAGCCCAGGGATGTACTTCTATTTTGGGTGGACAAGATGCATGGATTCTCCACTGTAGATGGATTTGTGGAGATAACTGAATGCATGGCGGAGATGATTAAGTACGTGGCGAATGAACCCTCGGTAGGGCTTTTCTATGTTCAGCAGCATGTCCAAAATGCAGTTCCAAATGTCACTAACATCAGGAAAAACGTGATGGAGAGGTCCCGTGAGACAAGCTTGAACACGGAAGACTTGGAGGATTCCATCACAATGGTGAGGTCAATGAAAGAATGTGGTTTGCCCATTGCAAATGAGATGATCAAAGACATCAGGAAATCTCTCGTGATAATGTCCGAGAAAAAGAAGAAGAGAGGATCAGTTTCGAGGTCATCATCCTCTGGCTTTCTGACGAGACTATCCAGCTCAACAGAACCACCGCCCAGTTGGAGTGATAGTGAGGAAGCTATTGCCCTAACAGATGGCAAGAAGTCAGGTTATTATATCTCCACCATGTTTAAGACAGCAAAGGAGAAGGCCAGCAGTTTCAAGTGGCCTCAGATCGATCTGAAGGAAACCATTCCAAGTTTTAATTATCCATCACAGTTTATAACATCTTCCTCTGCAAGTTCTTCTGTCGTTGTTGCAGAAGCTGAGGATTTGCCATTGTCAAGTAAGGCACCCGAGGACACTGCTGAAGAGCTCCAAACAGAAACAAAACACGAGCAGGCGGGAACAAGCTCCCTGCATTCGCTTGCCATTTCAGTTCCAGAAGATTATGATGTCTATAAGGCAGATAAATTAGCCAAACTAGAGGAATGGCTTGTAGAAAGTGGTGGTAAGCGAGATAGATTGCCACCCAGTAAGTGACATTGAAAAGAAAAACCTTTTCTTCTTTTGGTGGGCAGTATGAGATTCATTTGCTTGTATAATCTGCTGGATCTTGTTGTTTTGTAGTATATTGATATATAGTTTATGATGATATCCAGTAGGTTCATTTGAAATAAAACTCGTGGCTTCCCCATCTCCTGGTGTCTTCTATTATCCGTAGCTTGAGTGAGCTGCCAGCCACAGGTGATAGCAGCGAATTATGCAAACGTGCCTAGTACTTGCTGTGGAAAGTTGTGAATTGAATGTTGTCAAACAAATTCTTTCGCTCATGCTTTCCCAAGCTTTCTGGACCCTTGAGGAATTTGTTCCTCGAGTCGAAGATGGTGGAATTCGTAGCTCGTGTCTTCTTTTACAGGGGGTATCATTAATTCATAATGGGAGAAGTACTGCAGGATACCACCAAGTTCAGTCGAGTTGAAGTACGGCAAACGGTGGTGGTAACAGGGGGTTTCGGAGGTTGATTGTTGATTGTTGATCAGATGCTTTGGGAAGAAAGGAAGAAGAGATACAGAAGTCGAAGAAATACGGGCAAGTATTAGGAGTATAGCTAGATCAACCCATCCCATTAAGCCGATCCAGCTCTGGTCGAACCCAATGTAAACTTTCACAAGAGATTTGAAGGGAATCTGAAATGGAATGACAAATTTGATAACTCTTCGTGAAATTTAAGGATCGATAAAGGTGACAAAGTTGGCAAATAGGATTTGGAAGTTGCCTCAAGTGTAACAGTGCTGGGTAGAAATGTATGTCCAAGCTGAAACCAGACCATTCGAATGTCTGGTAAGTGGCCAGACTGCATTCACTAAGATTACTTGTGCAAATTGTTTGTCAAGAAGAAAAAAAGTATAGTGCAGAGTGCATAGAGCAGCACACGAAAATATGTAAACTCCCTGTTATTAGTCAAAGCAATGCCATTGAGTGCTGCATAAAGCAGTTTCCACATTGATCTTGTCTAGCTGAAAAAGGGCCAGGAGAAACAAGTTATTGGAACTACTCCATCGAGTAATATACAACTACAGCAGTAGCCAATTCAAACAAGCTTGACACCAGCTCCCCGCACAGAATCAACAACAGCTTTGACCTTTCCATGATACTTCTGTTCCCTCTTTAGCGAAACAGAAACAGCAGGTATGCCCTTCTGTAGCAGGCGCTCGCCAAGTAGCTTCCCAATCTTGGCAGCAGCTGCTACATCTCCAGTATTCTGCATGGCCAACCTAAGGGCCTTCTCTTGTGAGCTCGCTGAAGATGCTACTGTTGCAGTTGGTGAGTGCCTCACTGTAGCCGTCACAAACTTGTTACTGAAATGCATCATTAGCACGTAGGGCTTGAGATACTCGGTGATTCTAGGTGGCCTAACTGGAGGTCGAATAACCATCTTGATCTGGCAAAATCAGCACCCACAGTAAATCTCCACAACATTTGAGCAATGAAAGAGAGGCTTTCACAGAAGAGCATGCACGGGTTCCGTTGTTCTGAGTGAAGGAAAGGTCAGGAGCAATTAAAGGAAGAATCCAGTATCTTAAAACTCACTCACTCTACAGCATGGAAAAGAAAGAAGCAAAGATTTAGCCGGAAAACTTGTTTATGATCCACCATTAAATGAAAACTTGAAAATGTAAATCTGGTCGTTCTAACTTCTAATGGTTGACCTTGACCTTCTGCAACCATAAACTAAATAGAAATTGTTCAACTGGTACAGGACCATACTTAGTACTTAGTACGAGATTAGACAAATTCCGATTTCTGTTTTCGATCAAGTTGAGAGGAACTTGCTGATCAATGATCATACTAACAGGTCTGCAGTTCAGGAATTTCAATTGTAGAAGTGATCTGAATTTGATAGAAATCCAATTCTTGGGATTTATCATAATAATTATTATTACTATAATTAGGATATTATTAGATATGGTATAAGTCATTGAGTCATATTAGGATAGTCTATCAGGTTTTTCTAGTCTTTCGCTATAAAGATGTAATTGGTCCTTCATTCATAATCAATCAAGAAGAATATTAAGAAACCCTCTCCTAAACCCTATTCTCCCAATCCTCTCAATTCTCGTTCCCAATCCCTCTAAAGGCCTAGGCCGATTCTCTATCTTTCTCTTCTCCAATCCCTAAATCTGTTCTTAATCCCTAAATCCCCAATTCCCGATAGAACCCTAATAGCAGGTTCTATCATTTGGTATCAGAGCCATGGTCACAGATTTGAGTTCATCGCAACTCTCACCAGGGAATTGTTATCAGAAACTCTATCACGCGTTTGAAGCTCTCCAAGCCAGTCTTGTAAAATGTGAAGCTAGCCGGATAGAATATGAAGCTAGTCTAGTAAAAGATGAAGTTCGCAGGGAAGCTCACGACAACAACATGATAGCATGCCTGAAAGAACTTCGAGCCAAACTCGAGTGTCGTGCGACTCGCCGTCGCGCGACCAACAACCATCCAGAGTCGAAGTCAAAGGATTCATCAACACCAGCCACCGACGAAGACGCTCATACTGTCGCAGACTTCGTTCCTATCGCCGTGGAAATTGATGCAATTGGCGCAGCTCCTCAACTGGCTGCCGCAAATAAGGAGGGCGACCTGGTCCCGGCATCTACAGCCGCCATGCCACCAGTACCATCAACCATCGCCGATGGAAAAGTCGAGAAAGCAGCTGCAGCAGCGCCAGTCATTCTTGTGACATCACCACCTGCGCAGGTTCTGCTGCCACTACCTGTGGCTGAAGTAATCACAATACCACGTCCACCAACACAGGTCGTCGCAGTTGCTGTTGACTTCTTGACTGTCGAGTCATCGTTGTGCAAGCCTGCTGCTGTTGTTCGGCTCCACACGTCGATAACAGCATCTGCCATTAAGGCCATGACACCCTCGTCGTGGAAGATCACTCGAATCACCACATCCACTACCGGAGTTGTGGGAGAGCACTCCTCCACAGCGAACGATTTCCTAGGGCTCGGAGAACTCGCTAAATGCGTCTCCCGGAGAGCATCCCCGACGAATCCACCGATTGACGGATGGAAGTTTCGGAAAAAGACGATTGGAACTGGGGAAGAAGAATTGGAGACCACCGCGTTCCCCAGTACCTCGATCGTAGCGCCGTCGACCGACGCGTTCTCGGAATTGAACTGTTGCTGTTCGCTCGGTGGCCTGCCGATGGAATGGAAGTCGACGAAGTTGTCGTCGAAGGAGGAAACATCGCTGGAGCTTGGGACGACGGAGGACGAGGTGGCAACGTCGGGTGCACCGCCGATGATGGAGACGTCAGGGCCGGAGGACCGTGTAGGGACAGCAGCCGTGCGAGGGAGGACGACCTTGTTCGGCGCGTTGGAGGGGGAGAAGATGGAGGAAGCGGGCCGGCCTTCGTGCTGGCGGAGGGCGAACATTTGGGCGGATTTCTGGGTGGCGGGGATGGAGAAGAAGAGAGGTGGTGTTGAGCCGCCTCGCATGTCGCCAGAGTACGAGAACGACGAGGAGAAGAGGCCGGAATTGAGCAGGGCTCGTCGTCGCCTGGTGGGTTGCTCGATATCGGTGGAAGAGCCGCCGACTGAGTCGTCCGGGAAGGGATTGAAGATGGATCTGCCGGCGATTGGGAAAGAGGAAGGCGGCGACCCTCTTGCCGATAACCCTAGGTTCTTGCCCCACTCAATCCAACAATCATTTGTTTCGGGCCGAAGTGCTTGGGCCGCCGAACTGGAGATGGTAGATGGGGAGGGCCGGGCCTAAAGCCATCAATCTTGGCCACGGGCTGGATTTGGCGGGGAAGCTCGGCGGGTTTACTGTGGGCCGATTGGATCAGCAAGGCAGGCTGCAGGTTGACACGAATTGGGCTCCGTTTGGGACGAGTCTCGGGCCGCCGCTGAGAGAGAAGGAGGCCAAGCAAGAGTGGGAATATGGGCCGAATCTTGGGAAGCTACAGGCTTTAATTGGGCTTCAACTGGACTGTTTAGCTGAATCTCTTTATTATATTATGGGCTTGAAGGAGCAAGAAGGGAAATTCGTGGGCTTAGATGATGAGCTCAAGGAAGAACAATTCTCGTGTTCTTACTTTGTGGAGTGGGTGGAGGGAGTAGGATCAATTGGTCATGGATGTGGTCTAAACCACATGGTTGGAGAAGAAGCAATGAGAGTCGTAGTTGCTGGAGTGGGATTCGTTCGAGTAGTGGAGCATAATTGGAAGAGAAGAAAGCGCAAGAAGCAGATAAGCGATGATCGTATTGGCTGAGAAAGTGCGGAGAATAGGGTCGAGTTGGTCAACCTTGAGGACAAGGTTGGTCTGAAGGGGGAGGGGATGATAGAAATCCAATTCTTGGGATTTATCATAATAATTATTATTACTATAATTAGGATATTATTAGATATGGTATAAGTCATTGAGTCATATTAGGATAGTCTATCAGGTTTTTCTAGTCTTTCGCTATAAAGATGTAATTGGTCCTTCATTCATAATCAATCAAGAAGAATATTAAGAAACCCTCTCCTAAACCCTATTCTCCCAATCCTCTCAATTCTCGTTCCCAATCCCTCTAAAGGCCTAGGCCGATTCTCTATCTTTCTCTTCTCCAATCCCTAAATCTGTTCTTAATCCCTAAATCCCCAATTCCCGATAGAACCCTAATAGCAGGTTCTATCAGAATTCCAACAGGCACAAATGCTGAGCACAAAGTTTAGAACCCCAGCAAAGCAAATCTCAAATGCTCTGTATTCCCAGTAGTTTGCTTCTACTTTCTTGAACCCACACATTCGTCGAAATTCTAATGCCCTTGCTTTCAACCACAACTCCACAATCACTACTTATCACACTATGAATCACTGAGACTACTACCAGCCACGAGAATCACACTGACAAAGAGCCAAAAATTGGTCCACAGTGGGATTAAAACCAGATAGAAACCATCACCAACATGATAATCCGAGAAAAAGAATCACCTGGAGATTTTGGGGGGGAAAGATCGAGCCTTGTTATTTTCCGAGCTGGGCCTTGACCAATAGTCGAGTACAGAAAGCTCCTGTCGAAGAAGAGAAGGGCTGTGAGAAAGAGAAACATAGAGGAGAAACCAGAGAAAGGAAGGGAAAAGGAAGCAAAAGCGGAGAAATGCAGAGAAGAGACGACCTTGCGAGTCGAGTAACAATGAAACTCTGCCGGAGAGATCAGGGTGGACAGGAGAAACGACGGCGAGCTGCAGGGAAGGGTTCTTGAAAAATGAAAATAAAAGGTAGAGTTAATGGCCAATTACTCGCTTCCACCCAACTATAACATTTTTACTATTCAAGTCCCTAAACAAACATTTTTTTCTATAACTTCGGGCTCACATATGATAAAGCTTGATCTATAAAGCAAAAATGCTCCATTTTGCGACTTTACAGGCCCCCTAAGGGCACCTCATGTGACGGTCTGTAGGCCGAGCTTTTTTCCTTAGTCACATTCACTTTTCGGGTTGGTACCCTCAATTTGTTTAGATTTAGAGATCAGCGTTAGTAATTTTCCCTAATGAATCATATTCGTTAGTTTGCTTTTAATTTAAAAATGAATATACCTCTCAATAAATTTAAGCCAAAGTCCCACAACGACACATAGTGAGTACAATATTCCTCTACAAATGTATATCACTCTCTCATTTCCACCAATGATCGAATGCTTCTCAGTTACACAATTGCTTTGTACAAATTCCCACAACGACACATAGTGAGTACAATATTCCTATACAAATGTATATTTTGGACCATCAAGTCACACGTTACATCTAAAATTACTCCTAACGACTTGAGTCGAGCCCGTTCCCAATAGCCTGGCATACTCTTATCCAGTTTTCCATATCAAACCCCTGGGAGGTCATGCTCTGTTCCTTAAAATACCTCACACAATGGAAATGACTTCCAACTAATTTCACTCTATCAATGTACATATAGAACTCGATAATACAAACGAGAAAACACCACCAAGTTATTCGTGTTACATTCTTTCGCTATATCCACTCGTAAGTACTCTGCTTTTAAGTATAGCTCAGCCTTGTCAAGAGATAGCACCGGATTTCAGAAGATGGTGGAGACTTCAAACCAAACATTTCACTGCTCTGTTCAGGAACTGAAAATGGTAATAGAGGGGAAGATCATTAACTAACCAATAAAACAAACTTGATCCTTACACGTTTTGCATGCAAGGAAGACAATTCAGGTGGGGGAGAAGCCTCCCTATTATACTTCAAGGGCCAGAGCTATTACTACACCAGTAATGAAGCAGAACAAAGGCCTATCACAAATCAAACCAAGGAGAAACCAGCCAATTGCGAATTCTGAATCCATGGATACGATTCTCAAGCATTATCTACCACAATCAATAGCTGCAACTGCAGATTCATGCATTAGGAAAAACAAATAACACAAACAAATTCAAATAAACTTCATAATCAACGGTTTCAAGGGAATCCTACAATAAGTTTGTTCCCCTTGGTTCGCTGTGCCCGGGTACACTAACTATTATGTATAATGAAGTGAGAACTAGAATTACCTGTAACTCAAAATGGATGTTTGGCTGGCAGCCTCCTGAAGGTGACGAAAAATGGGTCATCGATTGTATATTCCCCACGTTCTTTACTGCTTCACTACTATAGATACTTCCAATCCTTCATTTCAAAGTCGCCAAGGCTAGGTACTTCCAATGTAAATCCCGAAATGGATCACCCAAAATGGAAACAGCTGTATAATTGTGCAACCCCAGCACTTGCAAAGATTTGAACTTGTGGAGTCCGATGATTTCAGTCAACTGGCTGCATCCTCTAATATCCAAGTGCTTCAGATTCTTTAGACCAGATAAATCCGAAAAGTTACTGATTGACTTGCAGTTTGACATAGCTAGCAGTTCCAATGATTCCCAACTTTCGACTCCCATGACCTCCGTCAACTGCGTGCATTCCCTAACATCCAAATACCTGAGATACTCGAGGCAAGACAGATCAGGCAACTTGTTAATTGACTTGCAGTTTGACATTGCTAGTGCTTGTAACGTTTCCAAACTCTCAAGTCCCCTGATCTCTGTCAATTGTTTGCATCCACCAATATTTAACACCTTCAGATTCTTGAGATCTGATAGATTAGGCAACCTCACAATTGATGCACAATCAGTCAAGTTGAGCCGCCGCAAAGACTCCAGTCTTCTGAGCCCCATCACGTCTGTCAATTCTGTGCATTCCCTAATATCCAAATCTATCAGATTCGGGAGACCACACAAATTTGGCAACCTGATAATAGATCTGCACCCAGAAATGTAGAGTTTTTTCAATGAATTCAAACCCTCAAGCCCACAGTCCTCCGTGAACGTCCATGACATGCATTCAACAATACTCAGCGACCACAAATTTTTAAGATTAAACATATTCGGCGGCAGCTTCTCGATTGACATGCAGCCTTCCATATCTAGACATTCTAATGATTCCAACCGGTCAAGCTCTTCAAGCTTGGCCAGCTGTGCGCCATCTCGAATTGTTAGTTTCTTCAAATTCTTGAGGGCAGATAGATTTGACAGCTTCTGAAAGGAGGTGCAAGACGAAATATCTAGTTCTTCTAATGACTGCAGTGCTTCAAACCCTGTAATCTCAATCAATTGCTGGCATCTAGAAATCTTTATTACTTGTAGATTACAAAGACGAGCAAGATGCAAGCTTCGTATTCGTGGTACAGAAAGACGAGTCTCGTTTCTTTGTAAAACACCATGAGAGGTTTCCTCAACAGTTAACTTCTTCAGGTTGCCTAATGAAGGAAGACCAAGTAGCGTTTCTAGTGACAGAAAGTTAGTTAATTCCAAAGTGGTCAGTGTTTCCAGAGATTGAAGAAGGCCTTCAACATTAGCTAACCTGGGACACCTGCTTATTTCCAAATGAGTTAAAGAACACTCTCCCAAGGCATCCAGTGACTGGCTCCCTTGGATTTCAAAAAGGTCCTTGCACCTACGAATTTTTAATGTGTGTAACTTGACCAAACTGGAAAGACTGGGCAGTTTTTCAACTGCATCACAGCGGTCCAGAGTAAGCCGTTGTAGGAGCACTAAATTTTCAAGACCATCAAGGTTCTCCAGGTGTGGGGCTCGAGATATTTCTAATGTTTCCAACATTCTCAGCTCTCCCAGGCCACTTATCTCGTGTACTACAACCAGTACCAGTCGTAGTTCGGTCAAGTTACTCAGATTTGCGAGATTCGGCAGTCTCTCCAATTTCTGACAACTCCTCACAACAAGGCTGTTTAGAGAAGATGGGAGTTGGGTAGCTGAGACTCCCATCCCATTGCTACTCGATGTAGCAGCTGACACCACCTCCAGTAGCAGAGTTTCCAACGCACCACAAGAGTCCACATTCAACTTCTTCAGCTTGGGTAGTTGAAGCCCTATATCTCCAGGAATTTGAGGCCCATTATAACAGTTCTGAAAGCATAGCACCTCCAAGTCCTTGAGCTCCAAAAGATTCGGAACCCTGGGGGATGAGAGGGTCAGTTGCTTTAAACTTGTGGGGAGTGCAGGTACTTCCACCAGACATGAGACCAAGTGCAGGATTTCTAGAGAGCCTAACTTACCTATACCAGTAGGCAATTTTGTCAACTTGGATCTTGAAGCATCAATCTCCTTCAGATCTTGAAGCATCTGGATGTCACCTTTCAATTCTGTTATCTTACTACCCGAAAGCCTCAGCAGTTTTAATTTCTTGAAATTGCTGATGTGCAGCTCTCCTCCCATATCACAGCAGACATCAAGATTTATCACCTCTAGACTGCCAGAAAAGGACAAGTCGGGAGCTTTCACCAAGTCATCACACCACCTTAAATTTACGACTTTCAGCTTCTTACTCTCCTGTACCACGACAGTAATCTCTTTTTAGCACAGGCCCGTAAGATGACATTATTTTTACCTATAAACAAGGAATTTATATTTTATATAAAAAAGGAGAGAATATTTATTGATGACCACCTTAATTCTTTTCCAGCCTCTCCAATAATCCCATACATTGGAATGTTCCAAGCTAAGAATTACCAGTTTCTTCAGGTTAATGTCAGTGGGTATTGAATGACAGGAACCCAACTGAAGCCATTGTATATTTGGAAGCATCTTACTGAAATCTCCAGTCAGTCCCCCACCCCACACATCAAGAAACCTTATCCCTGATAATTTATTAAAGTCTTTTTCTGTCAACTCCAGATTACCTCGATCTTCCATGTTGATTCTAAGAACTTGCACAGCGGCACTTCCCAACAACATGAGATCACAGAAACTCGTAATTCTTAATTTCGTAAACTTAAAATGTGCATCACCAACATTTAAAGAAATATTTACACAAACATACGATCTAAACAACTAATATCAAGTCAACCTTTTCATGCCCACAATATATCATTTTACATACTATTACAATATACATCATTTTCTTGCATGCTTAAACATTACAATACATTTTGGGTTATAAAAGATGTGTTCAATGATTCAGTTGCACACCATATACATAGAAACGCACATACGAACACTATATGAACAAATTAAAAGACTATATTCAAGTATCATCACACTTATTTATTTAAAATATCATCTGTCCTTTCACCAAATGAACTAGCTAACAAGTACATATGCTTACTACTGAAGCCCAACTTTCAAAGAACGAGTAGATAGACAGCTTATACCTACTGCAAGAAAATTACAAAATGAGAAGTACGCCAGGGAAAATATAAACCAAAACGCAAACAGAACAATACCTTCCCGTTTTCTAACATATCCAAAGCATCCTCATTGGACCATATCCTACTGCGTTTCCATGGCTGTCGAATATTTTCTTCATAAACAATAGCTCGACCAAGGTCTCTGATGTGGTCATGCATCCAGAACTCACTTCTCTTGTTAATTTTTATTAACGACTTAAGAATAAGATTGCTAATCCCACTTTCTGGATAAAACTTACACTCATTCCACATATAAAAAGGACACTCTTTTGTTTCCCCAATGAAAAAACAAGCAATGTCTAAAAATATTTCTTTTTCCGTGGGAGTTAAATCATTGTAACTTATTTTTAGTATCTCATGCACCCCAGTGAAAGGGCTTTCTTTCAGTTCCTCCAGCTTTTCTTCCCAAATTCTTATATCTTTACGAAACAAAAGGGATCCTATGACCTTTAGAGCTAAAGGGAGTCCTGCAGCAAGTTTCACAAATTCCTCACAAAGAGTGTCGCTTCCTTCTTGAGGATCATCCATTTGAAAGGCATGTTTTCTAAGAAGTTGACAAGAATCAATGTCACTCATTTCTTTGGCTTCGAACAACCTACATTCCTCAAAGAACTCTAAAACCCTTTTGTCTCTTGTTGTCAGTATAAATCGACTTTCTATGGAAAAATCTTGCAACTTCCCAAAAACTTTGTCAAACTCAAACCTCCGATCTACATCATCGAGAACAATAAGAACCTTGTACTTGCAAACCTTATCTTTGATTAGGTGAATCCCCTCGCTGACATCTTTAACATGGTTGTCATGCCTCAGAATGTTAGAAATTACCTTGTTTTGCAAAGTAACAACACCATCAGCCTTCAACAATGTTTCTCGTACATCTTCCAGAAAGCAACAACGATCAAACCATGAGGAGACCTCGTTGTAGACAGCTTTACTTAAGGTCGTCTTGCCAATACCACCAATACCATGAATTCCCACAACTTTCAGACCTTTGGAGTCTAAGTCCAATAAATCCAACACTTCTTTCACGTGTGAATCAATACCAATCAACTCATCAGTCACTATTGCGTAATTTGCCATCAGATGTGACCACACTTCGGAGAAAACCTTCTCTATCACGTCTCCTTGTCTGAAATTGAACACATTACAAATGTGGTTCAGATAGCAGGGACTAGAGAATCATACTAGGAAACGATAAAATAGCATAATGTGTCAGAATATAGGAGAAGCAGAGCAGTAATTTCTTAGTTTATTCTATGGATGATACTTGCCTTGCCTATATATAGACAAGGGTATGGATCACAAAATTCTTTCTGATGGCAGAAACGTGGGAGAGCCCATGTCTCAACCAACATTTAGTCAATCGGATTCCAATCGAGAGCCCATGTCTCAACCAACATCAAAACTGGATTCTGATCTTCCAAAATAAGAATCGAGCAGTATAAGAAAACCTTACCCATCGGATTCGGTGACATGCCATCCTTTCATTTCGCCGACCACTTGAAGAGCTTCCTTCCATTCCGTTATGGTCTCTGCATCATATTCCTGACTGTGCCGCCGAAATGCTTCACTGTAAGAGCCCTCTTGGCGCCGTACATCTCTAGGCTCCACAAAGTAGAAAATGGGCAACAAGATGTGGCCTTGGTTTTGATTCAAGGACTTGACCATGAGAGAGAGCTCTTCAAGACACCATTTACTGGAAGCGTAGTCTTGGGAAAGGATTGGAATGTAAACTTTGGATTCATGAATAGCCTCGACGAGGGAAGGAGCAATCTTCTCCCCCTTCCGGAGCTCTTCATCATCAAGGAATGTGCGAATCTTGGAATGATCCAGGAACTTGTACAGACAATCTGCAAAAGTTCTTCGCACGTCCGGACCTCTGAAGCTCAGGAAAACCTCGTGCTTCCCAGTTGGAAGAGGCAGCAGCGATGGCCGCTTAGGGGAAGGGACGCAATCAGATGAAGACAGGTTCCGCTTCATTTGGATCTCTCGGAAACAAACGATTGAAGCAAGTTGCAGAGATCTTGACCAGGTGGGTATAGTCACCCAATTCGCCTATACGCTCCCGCCCTAACCCGCGAAAACGGGATTCTGTCAAAACCGCCCCAAAATTCGCGAATTAGTTCTCGACAGAGCGCGAAAATTGGACTTCCTTCATTCCCTAATCCGCACTCACCGTCATTCGTCTGTTGCGTAGCTTTTGAATCGTGTAGCAAGAAAGCCACCAAGATTTGAGACAGTTGCAGACTTGCAGAAGATGGCGGCAAAAGGCCGCGGTCGTGTTTTGAAAATCTGAACGAGTGGCCTCCGATGGTTCACTGCGGCTGAGTAGAACTTGGGCTCTTGACAGGGACAGTAAAGTGATCTCTAAATTTCATGGGGGAAGAAGAGATCCAGAGAGAGGATGATCAAACGAGAGAACGTGATGATGTCTGCCTGGGAAAATTGACGAAAGGTACAGGATGAAAGGAACGAAGAGTTGGGGTCTCAGAAGGGTGGAGTGTTTTTTAATTTTTTTTTTAGAAGAGAAGGGTGGACTTTTTATGTTTCTCTATTATTCTAAGTCAAGCATAATTGAAGATAATTTTATCACTAACTTGCTTGTTTTGAGTTTAATACTTGATCTTTGGTGGTTGATTTTTATGATGATTCGAATTGGATGATTTGACGAGTTATGGCGGGAGATGTTTCTTGAAGTAGTAGATTGGTGCATTGTCACATAACCGTAATCAAGAATAAATTCGGTCAACTAAGATTTAGATACGAGCACATAGGGTTCTCATACTTCTTCATCACTAGCGGCATCCATGTTTGCTAGACGAAAGGTAGACAATATTTGTCCATCATATGGAATTTTGTTACGTTTTGATGACTCTTTGTTACGTGGAGAGGGTGAATGAATTGGGGACTGGTTACGGTGCTAATTGTACAAGAGTTAGCACCGTCCTAACCAAGGGTTAGTAGTGATTTAACTTAGATGTTGTATTGATTTTATAATAATCTGTAGTGATTTCGTTGTTTTTAGTAGCGTTTTTTGCTAGTTATCACGGTGCTAACCCCTATAAGGGTTAGCACCTAATCCCATCCCAATGAATTGACTTTGTTGGTCATTCTAATGAGTAATGATGGTAGGGTGATACTTGCGTTTGGAAAGGTTTACGAAGGTATAGATGATCTGTTTTATCATGGAACTGCTTGCTTGATGTCATGACTTGGTGCACAACATATGTTTTTCATTGTCAATTGTTGCGGTGACTTTGCAATTGGTGCTTCGACGTGAATTGACTGTGGGATGTGCGTTAGAGGATGTGTGGCAACTCTATTCTTCTTTTTCTTGCATTCATTGTACTTTTATCTGTATCGGTTTAAAGGGCTACCGATTTAGTGACAAAAAAATCTCTTATTCATTGTTCGTCTACTGGTTGACTAGCGCACTTGATTGTTGCACTTTTTCCGACTTTTGATTATGAACCTTCTTGGATGTCTATGATCAAAATGAGACTTTTTTTTTGTGTATTAATTTCAGTAATATTTTTGCAGAAACTATTATTTTTGTCATTGACCCTAAAAATAAACTCATATTTATGTGAGTAATAATATCAATCATCGCAAGTACAAGTATGAAGAAATATGTGTATCATAATGTGAGCTACAATACTAAGTAGCCAACACTTACAACTAGCTATTGAAGCACAAACTAGTTTGGTTGCTATGTCTTCAGAAGTTGTATCCCTACGTTCAAGTGAGTTGCATCGCCACATGAGAATGTGAATCGCAACCAGTAACCTTCAACACCAGCAGATGTTGCAACTCATCATTGAGCTAAGAACTCGTCTGACCAATCGTTGGACCTCATCAATGTCGAATCCTCGGTGGAGGTCCGCCCAAATCATCATAATGTCTCTCTCTGCATCCACAATCTTCACCGTAAAGCGCCAGCTGATTAAGGAGCATCGACAGAGACTCAACTGGTACATAATCAGTTCCAGTCTCCTCCATAGTTGGACTTCACCAGGAGTTACTTCTGGAGCAGCTCCAAGGAATTTCCATTTCCAGCCATATATCCCATCTACCACTGTATTCCACAACTTCCTTCAATTGTTCGAGTCCAGTGAAGATCCTGATATCTGCTAGTTGACAGATTCAAGAGGCGCTAGGATCTGTTGCAGTATTGCTCTCCGGCGACAGATCCACGGACTGGACCTGCTCGATTGTCAAAATAAGTCCCAGTAAAGTAATAATCCACGTCTCGAAATGTGATGACTGATTTATAGTGTAATCAATGATCAGAACATGTCCACAGAGAGGGAGAGAGGGTATAGAAAGCACCATCACCCATTAGAGATTCTCAATCAGTATTAGCAAGTACCAGACAGAGATCTGTAAGACAAATGTTGGTAGCAGTATAGGATTTCTTACCTCAGCTGTAAGGTGCCTTGAACATGCCACTTGGTCTTGTCCCATGCAATTCAGGTGTTACTATTATCCTCTGTGATACCACATGAAACAGAGATTAGCATGGAAAGACACTAACAAGATGTGAATTTCACAATGTGCAGGATGAAAAAATATGGCTATGCAAGCTGGAAGTGTTGTTTGTGTACACACCTATACCGATCATTTCACAAGGAGCATGATTCGTTGCCTTCATTCCTTCAGAAACTTTTACTCTTACCATGTTGGAATTGAAGGGGCGTGCCAACTTACTGTTGCTCACTATTTTCGCCCTCCTGCGAGATTTTAGGCAAAATACCAAGCAACACTTATAGTGAAGAAGTTTTATAAGTTACCAGAAACAGCATCACCGGAAATTTCAAATCCATACCTGACCAATTTTCGCTTTAAAGTACCCGTTTTCAGCTTGGAAGTTCCTCCTAGAAACATAAAATGGCATCCTAAGTTCTAACAGAACGAGAAAGTTGGCATATCTCAGAGACTGAAAATAGAAAAGCCTCCAAGATGTTCTCACCTGATTTTAGAGTTAAACAAGTAGAAGCTGCCTTGCGAATGCCCCTCTCGGCTTTGATGGAAGAAATGAGAGAATCAGCTGTAGGCCCCAAACCTTTTCTTCCAATTAGCTTTACCCCAAGTTTCTCATCCAGGTAACTCAGCCGCACATCATCACCTCCTCTGACCTCTCTCAGCTCAAGTGCCTGTTGTTTTGATAATAAGGTGTACACATGAAGCTCTTGTTGCTGGTTAAAGTGTGACTGCAGCTGCTTAAAGAGTAACTTATTGGAATGCTGTAGATCCGGCCTAGCACCTTCACGACTCCTCTTCTGAGGGTCACTTAATGCAACCCTCAAAATTGCTGCTGACTTGGGATCCGAATCATTTCGAGCAAATATAACAGCAAAACTACCAAATTCTAGATCAGGCTCCCTAAATAAATCTGCTAGAAGTGAAGCACAGGCATGAGAGTTCTTAAAGGGAGTACTATTAAGCTTAATCCTTGAGGATCTAGCACTAGCAAAGTTCGCAATATTAGCAGCTTCCCGCAAGCCAGTAAGAAAAGCTCCATGCATAGTCGCAGGGTACCGCCTAGTAGTGGCTTCCCCAGCAAAGAAAAGTCTTCCGTCTCCCACACTTTCTGCCAATATATCATAATCATCTCCGGATGCTCCAACAGCCACATTGGAATAAGACCCCAGAGAGAAGGAATCACTACCCCATCTTGTACATACAGTTTGTATAGGCTCTGGGACATTGATTCCTCGTGGTTCATAAATACCTGTATGCATCCATAGCAACACCTCTTAAATACATCATGATCCATATACGACATTTCGAACTAAGATTCTCTTTCTCTAGAAACTCATGGTAGTGGAAATATTCTCAAAAGTGAATATGGTGAAATGTCCAGACTAAATATTACTTTCATTGGCAGAAGAAAGACGCCAACAGCAGCAATGAATCAGATAGAAGTCTGAATACATTACCTTTTAGAATCTGAAGAACACGAGACACAGCATCCACTGGAGGCATACTCTCGAACTTTAGGGCAGCTTCTCCTGCTACTAGTGCAAGCAAGAGTGGTCCGCCAGAAACAGTGGCATAGCTGTAGAACAAGAAGAACTCTCCTCGTCTGCTTGAATGATCAGTCAAATGCCCAAATGTATCAAGATCATTTTCCCAAAACACGTAAGGGAAAAGCATTGCAACCTTGTTCAACAATCCGTACCCCAACCTCTTTATTCCATCAAGCTTCCTCTGTGGCAATTCTGGAACAAACTTTACCGATCCACTCTTCAGAACCCCAAGAGGTATTGTACACAATACCATATCACCCTCAAAAGTCTGACTCCCAGCAACAACCTGCACACCATCACTACCATATCTGATGGTGTGCACAGTCTTTTCATACAAGATAGGAACATTCTCGGCCAAAGCCTGGACCAACCTTCCATTCCCCCCAGGGACAAAACAGTGATCCCCTCCCATATCATATGGATCATCCTGATCCCAAAATGCTAAGGAAAGTTTTGACAATAAACCGGCATTGGCATATTCCAGATTTGCACAGTGCCAATTGAACAAGCCCATCTCCTCCTCATTCACAGCATCTCCATATACCTGCCTAAAGGTCTCTAAGGCTGCTCCTAGCGATACATCAACAGAGACATCCCCCATCAACTGCCTCAGCCTGCTTGCCTGATCCAACAATCGATTAAATGCTGCCTCAACCTTCATGTCTGTATCTAGATCAACTGGCTTCCCATCAGGTGCATAAAGAGGACACTTATCAGTCACCTTGTGTAAGCTATGCCCTAACTGCCTTGCTAGAATTCCTAGAGGATTACCCAAAGTTCCAGTCAAAACACTTCCTCCTAAATCTGCTGAAGCACTAACTCTATTCACTCCACCTCCTTCCAATTCCATTTTCTTAGTGTAAACTCTCCCACCGGGCCGTTTCCTCCCTTCCAAAACTGTGACCCTAAATCCTAACCTCATTAACTGCCTTGCTGCAGCCAGCCCAGCCAACCCAGCACCAATGATGATCACCCTTGCCTTACCAAACTCTGAGGGAAATTTCTCTTTAATGGCTTGCGAGACGCCGAAATTAATGTACCCACGGGAAACCAAGTAATCATAAGCAGAATCCAAGAGTCCATGACAATGCGCCGGCACAGAATTCAGGAACATCTCTTTCGTAATCCAGGCATTTATATTTTCTCGCCATTTGGCAATGATATGGTTTCTAATAAGCGTGTAATTTACCTGCTCAATCCCGCCGATCACCGGAAGCACGCCAGCTTCAATTTCCTCCTCCGTCAAAGAATCGGCGGGGAACCCAGCAGAGAGTGCAGTTAACGCCTCCGCTGTGGCTTCTCTGTTTATAACGATGATCTCTTCAGCAACGTCGGGAACCGGCGGCCTTGGAGGGTTTAACGAGCTGGAATTCGGATTAGGACCAGTAATGCTCTCCCCGCTGCGCGGTAAAAAGGGAACCTGTGGAATTCGAAAGGAAGTAGGAACACCGGACGCAGAACGAGTGGGCCGGCCACGGCGGCGTTTCTTGGGTATGGAGAAGGAGAGGAATTGGTTGGGGTTAGGAGATGCATCGGAGTCGACGCTTGAAGTTGGGTTTGGGGTTGAAATGGGATTGGAGCAAAGGCTAGGAAGAGGAGGGAAATCGACGAACTCTAGCGGTGGTGAGGAAAACTCGTCCGTCGTTGGTGTCTCCGAGTTCATCTTTAACTTTCCCTCCGGTGGTCGCAGGGCCAGAGACGGTGGCCGAGCTCGCACGCAGGCGGAGACTGGTCCTTTCCTCTTCGCTGCTACGTAATTGACCGAGCTTGTTTTGATTTGCTAATTCAGCCCCTGAACTTTCTTCATTGTCAAAACGAACCTCTAGAGCTAGAGACTTTTCCAAATTAATCCAAAGAAAAAACGACCGAAAGAAAAATCATTCATAATACGGTAAAAATAAAAATAGAAATAGGAGAAAAGAAAATTCAAAGTATCAAATCCCAGGTCAGGCCGAGAGGTGGATCGCGCTCCACATTCAGCTCTCTCTCTCTCTCTCTGTCTGTCTCGGTTTCTCGCCATTGTCGTCTTCTAACCTTCTTCTTCTTCCTCTTCGTCTCCTTCTCCTTGTTTCCGGCGAGATTGCTTCACTATCTCCAGTGCAGGGGCGACGTGACGGCCGCCACTTGTAATCGTGGAATAGGTGAGTTGCCTGGAATACTGTAATCTTTCATCTCTCCTCACTCTTGCTAGTGAATTCGCGATGTCGATAGCGTTTTTCTCATCGCGTTGAAGTTCGGTGGAGGACGGCCGGCTCCTTGTTTTGCCGCCGCTTTCTTTCTCAGTTCCCATGTTGATCTGAATTGGCAGCCGTTTTAGAATTTTCCAATTATGCTGCTGGTTGCAGCAATCCCGATACCATCATATCTATCTGGTTGTTTCCGGCGTAGCAATTGCGGCTTTCACTTCGTATCTATTAAGCCGTTCGATCTCTCTCGGATGAGAATTAGATGGTGCTTGGTCATTGCGTACTGGATCTAAGAATTCTTGGCGGTGAGGGCCAATGGAAAGCAAGACTTCGTTACTGTGTTCCCTTCTAGTTTTCAGTTTTTGAGAGAACGAAGCTGGTTCTTCAATCTTGGTGCTGTGAAGTATTGCAGTTCTAGTAGTTACTCCCTCACAGTTTGCTGTTGAAATGTTTTCTCTGTGCATACGCTCTTCCTAGGCAGTATGTGGCTTAGTATGTACTTAATCAGGATGTTCGCTCTACTTGAACTAATTCAAGAAGCAGTTTAGACAAAGTTATGACCAGCATATCTGGAACAAACATAGCTTTTCAGTTAATTGGTTGAAACAAATTTCTGGCTGTGTAAGGTTAATGCCTACGCAAGATGATGCATATTCTGTGAATAAATGGTTAATGCTTTTAGGGAATGGTGTGTCTACGGGTTTCATTTCTGGGTCTAGTTTGAGATTTGTTACATTGTTAGGCTTTTGGTTTCTTTCTTCCAGGCGTAGCTATTCACTGTCAGAAGAAGAAATCGAACGTGCACATGAGTTGATTACAACCTAGCTGTTGATGCGAAAGGATCAGGATGGGGATTTTTGATGGATTGCCAGTTCCACCTGATAAAGAGGTAAGTCTTCATTTAGCTTTCCCCCCTGGCCCCTTCAGAATAATATAAGTTTTGGGAAATAAACCAAAAAAGTTTTAGACCTTTATTCCTCTGTGTACTAGCAACAAATAATGAATGAATAGAAAAGGGGTTGTACTCAGGTGATACTGGTGAAGTATTTATCGTCTATTTTTTTAATAATCTCATGAAATATGATTCTTGTTCCAAAAATATATCTGATGGAGTGGTGGATCTTATTCTATTTCTGGAATCAATCATGAAGTGGGTAACTCACTAACTGCATATTGGAATGTCGTGTAATTGGTATAGATATGCAGTATTGTTACTGTGTTTGCTTTTTTATGGGTCCTTCTTTCTGGAAAAAAACAACAACAACCATGAACTGAGTAGCCAAGACTCTGACATATTCATGTTCTATCGTTGATGTCATACTAATGCAATTAGTTTTCTTTCTTGCTCTTGCTTCTCACTAAAACTTCCTTTGCTTTGATTTTTTTATGTAGTATCTAAGGGATGAGCTTTTGAAAATCGATGAGAGCTGGGCTACTCCTCGTTTCGACTCCTTACCTCATGTTGTTCATATTCTAACATCAAGAGATCGTGAAAATGAGCTCCACTATTTGAAGGAGCAAAGAGATATAGTTGAAGAGGTTGTGGATGAAGTTGTGCATGCTTATCACGGTGGCTTCAATAAAGCCATCCAAAACTACTCTCAGGTGCATTATTATTCTGTTTCCAGCTCATTAAAGATGCTGCTTGTCTGCCAAGCTTCTCAGGAAATTTTACACCTTGGCTTTTGTATATCCACATGGAAGGTGGAAAGTCTTTTATTGTCTTCGTGTGCTTTAAAAAATAATAAGGTAATGATAAACAGATGCTCGAAGTTACTGTCTGCTAGTGCATTTTTTCTTCTCCTCCCTTTGTATCTCTATTTTAGGTTGGATTGGATAAGGGTATTAGGACCTGATGGCTGAAAATTTATACTTAGCAGCCTTTGGCTTCAAAGATGCAGTAGACCATATCTTTTCCTTCCCAGTAGATCATATTTATCGTGTCCGAACAATTGGCCTAAGGCACTACCTGGCTGGAAAACAATCCAAATCAAAATTTCTTACTACGAGATAGTAATTTCTAATAAAGGTCTATTGCAATCTCTGGTCACCTGGATAGGATGTTACACCTGCTTAGTTAGGTCCTGTCATGCAGTATCCAATGGTACTGTATTGCTAACCCTTTGCGGCAGATGGAATTGTTGCCCTTCTGGAACCAACCAAGTCTTCTGATTGATTTATTTGGTTGGGGCTTCAGACGTTGAACTAGGCCATTGTCGTGGTGGTTTATGGTATTAAAAGACTGTTATCCCATGCATAGCCATGATGTACATATTCCCCAAATTCATCATAAGAAAAACATATTCCCCAAACTCATCATAAAAAAAAAAACATATTCCCCAAACCAAATAAAATTATCTCACTAGTCATTTTGCTTGAAATGTACTCTGAGCAGTCATAGTAATGTGAACTGGTTATTCCTCTCTGTTCAAAGTAATTATGAAACATATTCTTTTGCTTACTGTTTTGTTCTCTCTTCAGATCTTGAAGTTGTTCAGTGATTCTGCTGAAAGTATTCGCACACTGAAAATTGATTTGGCTGAGGCAAAGAAGCGTCTTGGTGCTCGAAACAAGCAATTACATCAGCTGTGGTCTCGATCTGTCACACTAAGGCACATCATTGCATTGTTAGATCAAATTGAGAGCATAGCTAAGGTAAACACGAATAGACTGTCAATTGACTAACTTGTTACTTATCTTTAACTTGTCAATTGAGGGATACCCTTGCTTTTCTCTCTTTATTCTTCTGCGCCACTCGCAGATAAAACACTTCCTGATTGTAGGGTGTGATTGGTCAAGCATTGACCTTTTTTGCACCATGATAGGTCCCAGAACGTATTGAGAAACTCATTGCCGAGAAACAGTTTTATGCGGCCATTCAATCACTTATTCAGTCATCCTTGATGCTTGAACGAGAAGGCCTTCAGACGGTAATATTTTACAACTTCTGGAGGCATCTGTCTGAATTGTACTTTGTAGTTTGAGTAAAGAGTTGTGTATTACTTCTCCCATTGTTACCATGTGAAGTGTAGAAGGAGTTGTTGAAGTCCAATTCTTGTTAATGTAAGTGGACTCGTATTCCAAATACAAATGGAAAACTGCTCCTTGGTCTTTGAAACTTATCCTTGAACATTATTCCACTTTTATCGTGTTCACTCAATTTCAGTCTGGTAACTAAAGCCTGTCATTGCCACTCGATTTTAGCATCTAATTCAGGGTACATCATACAACAACCATGTTAAGTGTAGAAGAAGTTATTATAGTCAGATTCTTGTTAATTCAATTGCTTGATGCCTAACTTACTTTAAAAATGGAAAGTTGGTCCATTATTTTTGACGCTTACCTAGATTGTTATTCTGCTTTGATGTGTCTGCTCAATTTCAGTCTGGTAAGTAATCCTGTCCACAACCATAATATTTGTGACTTCATTTTGGCATCTAAATCTGGGTGTATCATACCATGACAAGCTTTTCTTCTAATGAGAGCCTTGAAATGTTTCGAATGTACCTCAGGTTGGTGCTCTTCAAGATGTAAAATCTGAGTTGTCCAAGTTGAGAGGAGTTATCTTTTTCAGAATTGTGGAGGATTTGCATGCACATCTTTACAATAAGGGAGAACATAGGTATAACCATCTTTTTTCCTCTAGCCATCTAATTTCCTTATTGAGCAGTGGACATGTAAGGTGGAGGTTGTACCGTCTGGCACTTTTATGGTAGCCTTTTTTTCTTGCTAGCTAATCTGACAGGGAAGATTTTCATTGCTAGCTAATCTGCAATGTTGGTACTTTTTTGTTTTGATCCAGCTCATGCTGTACTACAGAATATGGTTGTCCTTAGCCTGATGTTTTCCCTGCAGCTCTGTGGCCTCGACCATGGATGAAAGAGAGGATGACCTGCCAACCGTTACTGCTGCTGCATATACAATGAATGGCTCACAATCCTTGTCCCGAAGGACCAAGATGATAAAAGGAGAAAATCTTGGACAGACAAATGGATCACTCAGGTAAGGTGTAGCCGATGTTTAAGAATATTATGTCGAGCTTTTGATTACGTTAATGTCTGGTGTTTTCTTTTTCCGACTTCTGCATTGTGCTGTAGTTTTTGGCTATGTGCGCTTGTGTATTGAATTGGTTTACAAGTTTAAGTTCTGCAGTCAGTATCTGCTTAGCAGATCTCTGGATGATGGCTCTTATGTGCTTTCCTCAAACCAGTTAAAATGTATGATGTCGAAATATACATGATATTCAACATTTTGATCCACTTCATTCAAGCACATGAATCTTCTTTTAATTGTTTATTGGCAAGTGGTCTTTTATTCCAGTTTGTGTTACTATAGTTCTTGTTTGCAGAATGTACTTTGACGGGCTTGCATTGTGATACTTACATTTTTTCCTCACATGTAATTTTTTGGGTAAAAATGCCTGCTTCAGTTTGATTGGCGAATTAGACTCTGTATTCAGGATTTAGTACAAACTGCGAATTTCTGACTTTCCTACGCTGAGTTATACTGGCCCTATCAATTTCAATGTGATGGTGCTGTTTTTGGTTCATCTAGTTCTCTATACTTACATCTACCATTGTCCTCAGTTCTTCATTTGAGGGACATGATGAGGATGGTTCTGTTGAATTGCATGATGAGGCAACCTCAGATGGACATGCTCGAGGAAATGGTGGTGATGGGATCACAAAGGATGCTAAAACTGGCTTTCACCAAATACCTAGTTGGCTTTCAAATTCCACACCTGATGAATTCATAGTATGAACAGAGTAACTGAAGTGGTTCATGACTTGTGCTACATTTGTTTACACTTTTCTATTCCGTGGCTGAACATATTGGCGAATTTTCGTGATGAATTAGGAAACCATCAAAAAGAGTGATGCTCCACTTCATGTAAAGTATTTGCAAACTCTGGTTGAGTGTCTCCGCATGCTGGGCAAAGTAGCAGCTTCTGGTGCGATGATATGGTTTGTTAACTGACTATTCACTTACTTGATGCTTTTCCTTGTTAGCTGTTGCTTACACTGATGCCCTTCACCATTTGCTATATGAAAAAAGAAAGGAATTCAATTTAGTTTCCTGGCATTTGTCAATTTCTGCTAGCCATTTATATCACACGTCTACTGTTCAATAGGCTTAAAACTGTGCAATTATTAGTTTTGATGTAACTATACCAGTATCTTATTCATGAAAAAGATAATCGTGATCTTAACTTGAAAGTTTATATGCATGGAGAAGACTGAAATTTTATTTTATTGCACCTAAAAGATTAATCTCGCAGTGTAAAATTTATTGGAGCAAATCTATTGGATCCATGAATGAAGTACTTGGTTTTCTTTTCTGACAGCCAGAGACTGCGCCCCACTATTCACGATATTATCACTTCGAAAGTTAAAGCTTATGCAGAACTTGCCAATGCTTCGAGGTCTGGCATTGGTCAAGCTGCTGAAACTGATGATACCGGCCTTCAGTTTATCAAAGTGCACGTAGAAAGCTACCAGTTGACGAAGAAGAAGCATCAGAATGGGATATCACTGGCTGGGACTCTACTGCAAGTGAGCCCTGTATCTCCTGTTATGGCTCCCACAGGCAAAGCGCAGACTGCTGCAAAAGATCTTCTTGACTCGGTATTGGATACTGTCATCAGAATATTTGGTAAGATATTAAATTGCATTGATGTCATGAAAATTTAAAACTTGAATTTAAACTAACATCTTTGTCAATCTAGAAAATCATGTTATTGTTGGAGAGCTTCTGGAGTCAAGATCAGTTCATGGTGTTGATTCACGCCCCCAGAGTTCATGGGCAACTAATGCGAATTTGAACCTTGGTGCCGGTCCTCAAGCAGGGGGATACAGCATGGGCTTTTCTCTGACTGTTTTACAGGTTCATGTAGATCCATCCTTGATATAGCCATAGGCTCTTTTAAGATTCAATATTCTGAGCTCTTAGCTGAATTCTTTTGTTATATTTCTTTCTGGTTTCTATTATTGTTTGCCAAAGAGCGAGTGTCAACAACTTATCTGTGAAATTCTGCGAGCAACCCCGGACGCTGCATCAGCAGATGCTGCTACACAGACTGCGAGACTTGCGGGCAAGGCCCCTTCCAAGGACAATAGGTGACACCCTGTTTGTGATACAATTTAGTGTCATTCTTCACACCCCTTTTCTCCTGTTTCTATTGTCTGTTTGTCCTTTATTTTACTGTGGTTTCTGTACCAGTCTGCGAAAACTATAAGATGTAGCCAGGAGATCAGGGAGAGTGACCACTTTAGCATGATTGCTAATGATTTTCTTGGTTTCAGGAACGGGTCAGAAGATGGTCTTACATTTGCATTTCGATTTACAGATTCTAGTATTCCTAATCAGGGTATGCTGAAGTTACCTCTGTCTTATGATCTAAAGTTCTCGAACACAACCATATTGCAACTTTTTCTTCAAAGTAGTCTCAAAGATCTGTTGTATTCGTATGCGAATGAACTTGTGCAAACCGAGCTTGCTATTTAGTCACTGTCTGATATAATGATCAAGCTCTAACATCCAAGCACCAAATTCTAAATTACAGAAGTCAATTGCTTTGCTGGTGTATTGAAATCCTTTTAATCTGTGTTATCTTATTCAGGTGCCGATCTCATTCGTCAGGGCTGGAATAGGAAGGGCCCTAATGTCCCGCAAGAAGGTTATGGCTCTGCCACCGTCTTGCCTGAGCAAGGCATATATCTAGCCGCATCTATATATCGGCCTGTTGTGCAGGTTTGAGAATGTGAACTTTGTACTTGAGAGCCATGTGACATACTTTTCATTACCATTTTATAAGTCAGCTCCTTTTGTTCTGCAGTTTACAGATAAGATTTCTTCTATGCTACCACAAAAAGATTCCCAGCTTGGGTAAGTATGAAAGACACTCATTTAGTATCTTTGTATTGGTTGTATTTTGTTGGTGCGGGGCATAACATTTATAACTTTGCTGCTCTTTCTTTCCTTTATACCCTCATTTTTTCAATTCCCATTTGACTGATATCTGAATGTCACTTCAGCTGGACTTGAAGTTGACAAGTTGCATACTTACTAACTAGACAGTAGTGGAAACAGAAATAAGTTGGGGTTGCAGTGAAATAAACTCTTACATTTTTCACCATAGGTTATGTCTTTTTCTCTTTTCCAATAATTACATTATCTTTGTGCACTCAGAAGCTAGCTTTTAGCTGTCTCAATAGGTGGATCTGAGCCAATTTCAACTTGGGTCGTTGAGAACACAAAAGTGATCTTCTGCTCTGTACCTTAGCCGTTATAGATGAGATTTTACGGCACAGAATTTCACTTCCTTGGTCATAATCTGATGCAGTTCATATGCTGGGAAGTTCTCAATTCTTCAAGAAATTGGTACTGAAGTAGTGATGAAACCTTATTACCTGTGGGAACATGTCCGCATATACGATTTTCAACTTGTCATCATCATTTTGAACTGATTTGTTAATTTGCCGATTATCTGTTGTTGCTTGTATTTTCCCTATCTTTATTTATGTTCTTATGATATGAATACTTTCATAGGAATGATGGGCTGCTAGCTTTTATGGAGAACTTTATAAAGGACCATTTTCTACCAGCCATGTTTGTGGACTACCGTAAAGCCGTACAGCAAGCTATATCAAGTACGTTCTATCCTGTGTAAAATTTATCCTACTTGTCAAGGGTCCAGTAACAATTCGTCAACTTGGCTGCTTCATTTTGTGTTGCCTTGCTTAAGATTTTCTTCAGGAGAAGAAGTTGTGATTGTATGGATGTGTTTTTGTCACTTATTTTCGATGGATAATATTGTACTAAATTCTATCCAATTACCCAGCTACCTTTTTCTGAAGTGGAATTTACAGTATGGCCTCATGTAACTGCTCGTGAAAACTGAAAACTGGATTAGTTATTCGTGCTGGCATACTTGATTTGCCGTTTGACATTGAAGCATGAGAACCTTATGCACAAAGATGTAAAACCAGAGTAAACCTTAAGATGGAGTTGTATCAAGAGAACCCAATGAATGAAGTTGCAATTGACCCTTTTGAATGGCAATTTTGTTGTTCACAGTTCAAGTGTCAGATATCTCGAGAAAGCTTGCTTCTGTTGTTTGTTTGTATCTTATTTCATGACTTCAACACAGGTCCAGCTGCATTTCGACCGCGGTCTGCAGCAGCAGCTACTTACACCCCATCCGTCGAGAAAGGTCGGCCTGTCTTGCAGGGACTCTTGGCAATTGATTTCCTTGCAAAAGAGGCAAGCATTATTGCTCTCTTTTCACCTTGGCTTCTTGTGCATTAGCTCCAGAGTATTGGCAAGCTGTGGACAGTGAAGCTTTCCTGTTATTGAGTGGCTCCTACAACTCTATAGTGGGATGTTTCAATTTGATGACTGTCTCTTTTTGCAGGTGCTTGGTTGGGCTCAAGCAATGCCTAAATTTGCAAGTGATCTCGTGAAGAACGTGCAGACATACCTGGAAAGAACATACGAAAGATGTCGCACATCCTATATGGAGGCATGGATCTGCTCCTTTTGATGTGATATTTATTGATCCTCTTCTACTCCTTTTCATGAATCTATATGAAATTCTTAAGTTGCGTCCTCTATTTCGTGTTCCATTGATCATTATCTTAGGAGGTTTACTCTATTATTGTTTGATCTATTCCAATGCTAAAGGAATTTTATATTCTTAAGATCTATTGCTGTGGTCTCTTTCATTATGGATCCAAGACTTAACAGAAGAATATAGTTTTAGTTTGAGGGCTTTAGTTTTCCTAAATTTCTGAGAGGTTATCTGAAAATAGTATCTTCTTGCTGACACGTGCATACCACTTCTGAATAGCAGTCTTTTTTAGCCACCTAGAGCAACCCATATTATTGTGTTTTTTTTGTTTTTTTGTCATGCATCAGGCAGTTCTTGAGAAGCAAAGCTACATGCTGATTGGGAGGCACGATATAGAGAAATTGATGCGACTTGATCCAGCAAGTTCATGCTTGCCTCATTCACTTGGCCATTCAAATTCAAACTTGGTAAACAATGCTTCAGATGCAGAATCAGTTGAGATTGAGTCAGAACTGAATGGCATGCTATTGAATTTGCGCCCAATCAGACAGGTACTCTGCTGCTTGAGGGTCTATCAGTTAATACGCATTGCTATTTGGTATTCATGAGGTGCTGTTGACTTAATCACAAAGTTTTTACTGTTCATTTTGCTAGCAACTATAATCTGAATTCACATTTTGCAGGACAATCTGATTCGTGATGATAACAAACTCATTTTGCTTGCATCTCTTAGTGATTCCTTGGAGTATGTTGCTGATTCAATTGAAAGGCAAGACACTTGGATTTAGTCTTTGGCATTGTTCTATTAACTGGACTCCAGTGAGAAAATGAAGAGCAGTCTGTCTACATTCCTCTTATTTGCACATGTTTTTTAAATGACCACCTTGCTGATCTGGACAAATTATTTTTGGGCATGTAGGCTTAGTCAGTCCAACATACGTGCAGCAAAGCTAGTAGGAGAGAGAGGAAAGAATCTGGCTTCATTCGCGGATGACTATAGGAAACTAGCGATTGACTGTCTAAAGGTTTTGCGCGTGGAGATGCAGTTGGAGACCATATTCCATTTGCAGGTTTGGAAAAGCAACAGTAACTGAGTGTCGTTTTTTGGGCAACTGAGGTTGTGTTTCTGTGTTTTGTTTCACACATCATATGGTAATCTAAACAGGAAATGACAAATAGAGAGTACTTGGAGGACCAGGATACAGAAGAGCCAGATGATTTTATCATTTCTCTCACTGCACAGGTTAGATTCCTGGCTTACAGATTTCTCTGCAGGTTATTATCAGTTGGAAGTTGTTGCTCTTCCGGTCTTCCCTGCCTGTCATTAATTTTTAGTGTATTTGACATCGTTCTAACTGAAAGAGCATGTTTGTTGGAACTTCAACTTCTCAGTGAGTTGGCTTCTAGTAGATCAATCTTTTTCAACCTGACATTGACCTAATACACAGTAGCTTATGGTACCTTTCTTAATGGACTTTTTGGCAAGAAATTTTCTAAGTGGACTTGGTGTTAAAGGATTTTTCTTTAATCATCTACGTCCTTTGTATCATAGTATGTTATTAAATATTTACATGTAGGAGTGTGTTATTCCTGTACAATTAGAGCACTCGAATGTGAAATGTTTTGGTGATTGCACATTTGTGTATTTGCTCTATGTTCTAGAGGTGGACCTAATTCAGGTTTCACTGGCTAACTTACCTATTTGGATTTCTTGCCCAGTAAGATAGTTGCAGTGGGTCCCAAATGTACCTGCAAGGCAGTTTCAGACATGATGTTATACTTCATTCTTTTGAAATCCGATTTATCGTATTGTTATATGATCCCAGATAACACGCCGGGATGAAGAAATGGCACCTTTTGTTGCACCAGTAAAGCGAAACTACATATTTGGTGGAATATGTAGCATTGCTGCAAATGCGTCTATCAGGGTATGGATCATTACTCATCCTGAAAAATGAAAATTGCATGGATTTCTATGGGGCTTCCATCAGTTTTTAGCTTTGGCCTTCTCAGTTCTTTTTGTTCTCATCACTGAAAGAGAATCTCAACGTTTCAACAGGTTCTTGCTGATTTGAGATCCATCAACCTTTTTGGGGTTCAACAGATTTGCCGAAATTCAATAGCATTGGAGCAGGTAAGCTCTCTTCCCTATCCCGCCGACTTCAGCCCGTGTATTTATTTTTCCAAGTTGATCAAAACCATTTTAGATATACTTTGCACAATCACCTGTGACGTATTGGTGCCAAATCCATTTCAAAAATTGTGATTTGAAAAAGTTGGATGCCATGATATGGTTCCTATTTTTTTTTTACCATGGCTGTCGTTCTTGTGTAGGCTCTTGCAGTTATTCCATCAATCGACAGTGAATCTGTACAGCTGAGACTGGATCGCGTCAGAACATACTATGAACTATTAAACATGCCCTTTGAGGCAAGCCAGCTAGTTTGCCTTTATGTAGACCCTTTTTCTTTTCTTCTCTGGCTACCGTCTCTAATACCTTGTCGGTAATCTGCATTTTTTTCAGGCTTTGCTTGCTTTCATTGCGGAGCATGAGCACTTGTTTACCGCTAAAGAGTCAGTTTGCTGCAACTTCTCATACTAACGTCCATCACAAGCAGCTTGTTTTGCTAATACTGCTAATGCATCCACTTGTGTTTTTGTCTCTGCAGATATGGTTATCTCTTAAAGGTGAAAGTCCCTGGAAGAGAGGTTCCCCCTGATGCACAACGTCGGGTTTCAGCCGTCCTATCTCGATAGCACGTCGTCACCCGATTTGTGGATGGGGTTCCAATTTCTCTGCTGCGTGATGTATAGAAAGGGACCATTTTTACTTACGACGAACTGATGGAATCACCTGGTGGCGAATGCGATGAACGTCTTACTCTTAATGGTGTGCTTGCCGGATTCTCGCGATTTTCACATGGTAGATATAGTGTTTAATGGTTCTCTTTTCAACTGTAGTTTCTTCTGCGGTAAGCATGCAGTTGGTAGTGTGTATGGTTTTTATTTCCCCATCATTCTTTTGCTTGCTTGTTCGGATTTATTTTTGAGGGATTTGTGGAGAGTGAAGAAGTAAAAAAAAAAAAATAGTGATAGCTTTTCGCTTTTTTAGGGAGTGAAATAGGATGGAATTCGTTTGCTTCATTTTGGATTAGGAACATTGAAATAGATAGCAAAACTTGCGAAATGAAGAAGTGGAATAGATATTCGGCCTTCAAATCGCACAACAAACTAGGGGTGGGAAACGGTGCGGTTGCGGTTAACTGCACCGCAATTTGCGGTTAACCGCAACCGCAAAACACCCATATTGGCCAACCGCGACCGCAACGGTTAGCGGTTAACCAAAAACCGCAGAACGCGGTTAGCGGTGAACCGCGGTTTATGGTTGTGAAAACCGCAACAACCGAAACACCATATGAAATCGCAGTTAGCACTCTAACCGACAATTAACCGCGAACTAACCGCAAAAAAATCATGGAAAAAAAAAACACAGCAGCTACTGTTTTGTCTATTTTCACTTCAATCAAGCCCTGCATCTGTCTGCATATCCAAATAACACAATCCACAAGCACAAATGCACAATCCCAAATTTGAACTTCATAGGAAATTAACCAACATCCCAAATTTAAACATAGACATAGCTAGAACTTAAACATCAGTTCTTCAATCATTCTTAATCGGTGATCCTACTGACTATCCTCCCCATCACTAGAACTGTCATCCTCGCCATCACTGTCGCTAATAGCTCCTCCATCACTAGGTCCCACTCCGCCCGTAGCACTAGGAGCTTCACGATCAATGGGCATTGCATTTACTGCACTTCCAAGTCCAGCTGTGGCAGAAGTATTCACATCCCACACTAAAGTTTTGAATGCTAAAACAATAAAACAAATATTAGAATGGAATTAAGTTAGAAAGCAAAGTAACAATAGCTCAACAAACTAAAGCAACTAAAATAAAATAAATACCATTGTCAAGATCTTCCAACTCCTCCAAATCCTCATCTTCAATTGGCAATGTTGAGCTTGCTAACCAATCTTCACTGCAAATGAGAGCATCCACAATTTGAGGAGTCAAAGAACTCCTAAAAGAATCCAACACACGACCTCCGGTACTAAAAGCACTCTCGGAAGCTACTGTGGAAATGGGGACAGCAAATATGTCTTTGGCCATCTCGCTCAAAATGGGATAGCGATGTGCATAGTTTTTCCACCAACTAAGCACATCATACTTCATATTCTTCGCATCTCCTTCACGAATCTCTACCAAATATCTGTCCAACTCGGAGGATTGAGCAATTTCCTCACACGCTTCATAATCATCATCACAAACACGCCTCCCCACATTGGGCACAAGGCTGCCCACCTCACCAGGAGTAGTCGTTTCTGCACTCCCAATCCCAGATTGTGACCCTTGGCCTTGACTTTGAGTAGGAGGTTTGCATTTGCTTTGGTAATGCTTAAACAATGAAGTAAGCTCACTCTGAAGATCTTCAGCCAACTCATCCCCTCTAGCTTGTCCATATAACTTCCTCAAAACATAAATGCGATACTTCATTTTGTGCCTAGGATCAAACACCACTGCCATGTAGAAAAGCTTGTTCATTCTTGAATTATCATTCTCCGCCTCATACCAATACTTTCCTACCTTTGCATGCATCCTAAATGCCATATTTCTGACCTCCTCTTCCTCACTAGCCTCCATTTCTTTGAGCTGGTGGAATATATGAAGAAGCTCTCTCAAGAATAGATGAGAAGTCACATACTTCGTACCTGAAACAAGTAAGGTAAGCTCATAAAAGTAACTCAAGTGCTTGCACAAGTTTCTTGCACTCTCCCAATCTGCTGCAGTTGGAGGACCAATTTCCTCACCCTTGTGTAATCGATATCAAGGAAGAAGAAATTTAGGGTTCTGGGAAAGGATTTTGAGAATCGAGGGGAAGAGGAAAGAACAATACGAAGACAAGGTTGAATCGGAAGAGAATGAGTGGCTAGAGCACTCGTTTGGTCTCTTCTTTAAGACTGGGCTCTAGTAAACCCGGCCCACGATCCAAGCCCGGCTTGTTGTGACTAAAACCAAAAGACAGGCTTTAAGCCCAGTCTCACTTAAGCACCGATTCCAGAAGGAATTGTTTCCAGACAACAAGCAGAGCAGTGAAGCTCAGCAGAACAAGAACAGAGGAAGAACAGAAGATTTGAAGCTCAATTGAAATGCAGAAAAGTAAATGACACACGATCTTTTTAATGTGGTTCGCCCAAGTGCAATGGTTTACTTCCACGTCCCAGAATATGGTCTGGGAGACCTTTATTACTTAAGATTTTTGACAAAAGACTGAGAAAACTAAAGTATGCAATTGCAAAGTAAAATAAACAAGATGAACCGAAGAACCCAGATCAGCCTTGATCTGTTCAGCCTTGACACACTCAGAACCTCTACCTCTGTGAGTGTCAACCCCTTTTGTGTTTCCAAGCTTTAAGCCCTGTTCCGCTAACAAGCTTCAACAAAAGTATATTCTTAGAGAGACCAACAAGATATATATATAGTCAGAGAGCAGCTAGCCGTTGGAATGCAAAGAAGGAAACTGTTCAAATCGGACAGCTGTTTCCTTTGATACTGCTAGAATCAAAAAGAGGCAATCTCCATATTTGCCAAAATCAACAATCTCCCCCTAAGATGGAGATTGCCGATTGACTTTTCCTGCAGTGAACACACAAGATTTCATAAAGATAAACCAGCACACACAAGGAAACAGGAAACTCAATTTCACTGATCAGAACAAACAAAACAGATAAGACAATTAACAAAGCACTCCCCCTGAGTTCAGGACAACTCTAAGAAAAATCAACTCTCACAACGAAACAGGGCAACATATGGGAGCAAGGACAGTCAAGGATCTGAACTATCACTAGACGAGGCAGCGCCCGTCTTGACAGCAACAGGTGAGTCTGATTCAGAATCAGAGCCATAGAGTTCGTTAAGAGCAGCTGCAAAGGATGGTAGAAAGGCAGGGACAACATCTTCAGGGGCTTCTTCAGCTTCAACCTCTCCATCTTCCTCAGAGTCACTGCTGAGCCAGTGTATGAAAGGACTCTCCCCCTCAATCGCAATCCCAATCTCCTCTAAGACGTCATTAGCAGTGAGCCACAGCGAAGGAGATTCAGTACGATAGGCCGAAAGATCTAGGGGCAGAGCAAGCATAAGGCGGGTGATAATAGCTCCAAAGGGAAGAGGAGCATGAAAGTGTGATCAATGAAGGGGAGAAGTGCGCCAAAAAATAGATGGGAGAAATCCAATGGTACAGCAGCAACAGCATGAGCCAGTATCCATAGATCCAGAGGAAGGACACGATCAAGAGACACCACCCTAGGCAAAAACACGCTGGTAAGGAGGTAATGGAAAGCTTTCAGAGAGGGAGGTAACAGACCAGTAGAGAAGGTATTATCTTGATCAGGTTCATGGCCAGTGAGATGAACAGCTTCAGTAGTGATATTGAAATGGAACAAAGGAAGTTCATCAGGATGAGCTAGGGCTTCTCCAAAAGCTGGGATGTTTAGGAGACGGCTGATATCAGGGAGAGGGAGAGTCATCATGTGACCATGAACCAGAGAGCTGATGGTACGAGATTGGAGCCCAAAATACCTAAGATTCGAAAAGAAAACCCTAACAGCCTCAGGACAGATGAGGGAAGATGTGAAATCAGGCATCAGGAGAAACTCCCAGCCTAGATTATAGACAAAGGGCATCACATCTAATCCTAAGGGCACAAAATCAGGAGGGTGAACAATAGTGGAAGGGTTTATGGGGCGATTTGCAAAGGACTGAGTGTGACGATGATAGTTTGCAACTACAGGGTCATGAAAATGAGCCCCAGAGTAGGTCAGAGCAAAAGCATAGACCATGGCTGACTACGAGGAAGGGAAAGGTTCTGACACGAGACAAACACACCAAACAGAGCAAACAAGCAATATAAAGACTGAACTCAAAACAATAAAAGGAAAGAACTCAATCAATCAACCACGAAAAAGAAGGCAAGAAAATATACTAAGGAATACAACAGACATGGTAACCCAGCAAAGGCTAGTTTTCACCAGCAGCATGGTAGACAGAGATCGCAGACCGATCTCACAACACAAAAAAGTAAAGCGATCAGTTGACAAAGGTTTTGTAAAAAGATCTGCCAGTTGGAATTCAGTATTAATATACTGAAGATTAATGATTCCAGCACTCACAAGATCACGTATGAAATGATATTTGATTTCAATATGCTTAGTACGTGAATGTTGCACAGGGTTTTTAGACATGCAAATAGCGCTAGTATTGTCACACAGTAAAGGTATGCTAGTCATAGTAATACCATAATCTTGAAGTTGACTTTTTAACCACAGTAGCTGAGTACATGTGCTGCCAGCAGCTATGTACTCTGCCTCAGCTGTGGATAGGGCAACTGCCCCTTGTTTTTTGCAAGACCAGGAGACTAAAGAGGTTCCTACAAATTGACAACTACCAGAAGTGCTTCTCCTATCAGTTAAACTCCCTGCAAAATCAGAGTCACTATACCCTACAAGATCAAACTGATCATGCTTAGGATACCATAGACCAATGTCCATAGTCCCTTTGAGGTATCTAAAAATGCGTTTAACTGCAGACATGTGACTCTCTTTAGGGGCTGACTGAAATCTAGCACATAAACAGACACTATGTTGAATATCAGGGCGACTGGCAGTTAGATATAGTAATGATCCAATCATACCTCTGAATTTAGATTCATCAACTGGTATACCAGCCTCATCTTTATCGAGTTTTAGATTAACTGCCATAGGGGTAGGACTGGTATTAAGGTTTAACATATCAAATTTACTCAGCATAGAGGATATGTACTTAGTCTGACTTATAAAGGTACCAGTCTTTGTTTGTTTAATTTGGAGTCCGAGGAAAAATTGTAATTCCCCCATCATGCTCATCTCAAAGTCCTCTTTCATAGAATCACAGAACTCAGAGCACATGTCTTTGCAAGTGGCTCCAAACACAATATCATCTACATAAATCTGAACTATAAGCATGTCATTTGATTTGTGTTTAATGAACAAAGTCTTATCAACTGTCCCTTGAACAAAACCATGTTGAAGTAGGAATGCAGTAAGCCTATCATACCAAGCTCTTGGAGCTTGTTTAAGACCATATAAGGCTTTTCTAAGTTTATAAACATGATTAGGGTGTTGATGGTCCTCAAAACCAGGAGGTTGTGAGACATAGACTTCCTCTTTGATATCACCATTTAAGAAGGCACTTTTGACATCCATTTGGTAAAGAGGGAAACCCATGTAGCAAGCAAAAGCACACAGCAAACGAATTGATTCTAACCTAGCAACAGGGGCAAAGGTTTCATCATAATCCACCCCTTCCTCCTGTGAGTAACCTTGTGCCACTAATCTGGCTTTATTCCTAATTATGGTTCCATTTTCATCTGATTTGTTCCTAAAAACCCACTTGGTTCCAATCACAGATTGGTTTAAGGGTCTAGGCACAAGATCCCAAACATGAAGAGATTTGAATTGAGCTAATTCATCAACCATAGCAAAGAACCATTCATCATCTTTAATTGCTTCTTTATAGTTTTTAGGTTCAAATTGTGAAACATAGGCATACTGTCCAGGGACATACTTACCTCTGGTTCGAAGACCATCATTCAGGTTACCTATGATTTGGTCTGATGGATGGCGCCTCTGAATATGAGGGGGTGCTGTGGCAGTGGTTGCAGCTGTATCCTTGTCAGTTGTTGCACTCTGCTCACCAGAATCTTCACCAGTTTTTGAAGTTTCATCAGGTGCTACTTCTTCGACTGGTTCTGAACCATTTCTGATCATTTCTAGAAGATCATAGTCCTGCAAATCTTGCTCAGTTTCTTCATTCATAATGTTAGAATCATTAAATATAACATGAACAGATTCTTCTACTTTCTGGGTACGTTTATTGTAGACTCGATAGGCTTGACCTTTTATAGAGTAGCCTAGAAAAATGGCTTTGTCAGATTTAGCATCAAATTTTCCTAGCCTATCTTTAGTATTTAAAACATGACATAAGCATCCAAAAGGATGAAAATATCCAAGATTTGGAGTCTTGTTTTTGAAGATTTCATAAGGAGTTCT